CCCCACAGGAGGACCATTGGGCATCACGGTTACACTGAGGGGGGGTCAAGGCCCCCACCTGGGGGACATGGTGGGCCCAGAGGCCACATGTAGAATTAGGAATTCATTGGTCCCCTGTGAATGTATGTGTCCTGGCGCTGGTGGGCAAGGGAGCTGAGTGTTCTCTGATCCATGCCAACCCTGACCGTTTTCCTGGGCCCCCTGCTGTGATAGGTGGCTATGGGGGTGAGGCAATTAGAGGGAAGAAAGCCCAAATCCCATTGGGGTTGGGGCGTTTGCCCCCAAAGGAGTATACTATGTACATTTCTCCCATCCCTGAATATATTTTGGGGGTGGATATCCTGCAGGGCCTGTCATTACAGACCACTGCAGGGGAGTCCAGACTGAGGGTACGTGTGGTAAAGGCAGTTCTGAGGGGCCATGCTAAGCACCTACCTGCAGCTCTGCCTGTACCTCCACGGGTGACAAATACTAAGCAGTATAAATTGTCTGGGGGACACAAGGAAATTGGAGAAACTCTCCAGGAGTTGGAGAGGGTGGGCATCATAAAGCCCACTCATAGTCCTTTTAATTCCCCAGTGCAGCCAGTGAGAAAGCCAGACGGCTCCTGGTGTATGACTGTAGACTACAGGGTATTGAATAAAGTCACACCCCCTTTGCATGCTGCTGTCCCCTCTATAGCAGACATTCTGGACACCCTCAGCCACAAACTGGGAATGTATCATTATGTGTAGATCTTGCTAATGCTTTCTTCTCTACTGACATAGCACAGGAAAGCCAGGAACAGTTTGCCTTCATGTGGGAAGGCCGGCAGTGGACGTTCACTGTCCTTCCACAGGGATACCTCAACAGTCCCACCATCTCTCATGGACTCGTAGCCCAGGACCTGGCCACATCGAGGAAACCGCGAACAGTGCGGTTCTATTACTACATTGATGACATTATGCTCACATCTGATTTTCTTCCAGATTTAGAAGGGGCAGTTCCTAGACTGTTGCAACATCTACAGGAAAAAGGATGGGCTGTGAACAGCACCAAGGTTCAGGGACTCGGTTTGTCTGTGAAATTCTTGGGTGTTGTCTGGTCAGGTAAAACTAAAGTTGTTTCTGAAGCAGTTATAGACAAGGTCCAGGCTTTCCCCACCCCTACCACTGTGGCAGTATTACAGGAGTTTGGGGGTCTTTTGGGCTACTGGAGAGTGTTTATCCTGCACTTGGCACAAATTCTGAAGCCCTTATACCGGTTGGTACAAAAGGGCATCAGGTGGGACTGGGATGAGATACGTGTAGCTGCTTTTACTGCTGCCAAGTGGGCAGTCAAGGCCTTACACGCCTTGAATGTAATAGACTCATCAAGGCCCTGTGAACTAGATGTTCATGTAACTGAAGATGGTTATGGATGGGTTCTCTGGCAGCGGCTTGAACAGACATGCCAACCTACAGGATCCTGGTTACAACTATGGAAAGGAGCAGAGATCCAATACACCTTGATAGAGAAGCAACTGGCTGCTGTGTACCATGCCTTCCTGGCTACGGAGCCCATTGCTGGAACAGCTCCAACCAAGGTGATAACCACCTATCCCATCATGAGGTGGGTGAGAGACTGGACCCAAAGGCCACGGAGTGGCATGGCTCAGACACCTACACTCGCCAAATGGGGCACATATTTACAGCAGCACAGCGCCCTCTCTACTAGCCCCTTAAGTGGAGACCTCCAATGCTTATTGGGGCCAGTGACCTTTACCAATGGAAAGCGGGAAGAACTTGCTTTTCAGCCCTTGGTAGCTGAAACTCCTTATCAGGAGAGAAAAGCCTCTATACCTGAAGATGCTTGGTACACAGCCAGCTCCAGTTGTGGGCAGCCCCCGAAGTGGAGGGCTGTGGCTTTCCATCCTAACACTGAGACAATATGGATGGAGGAGAGAGTGGAAGAGCAGTCAATGGGCTGAGCTGTGGGCAGTATGGCTTGTGATCACCCAGGAGCCCTCCCCCATAGTTGTCTGCTGGGCTGTCTATCAGGGCTTGACCCTGTGGCTACTGACATGGTATCATGCCAACTGGATGGTTGGTCACTGGCCCCTTTAGGGGCAAGACTTGTGGCAAGACCTACGAGCCTCTGATCAGACTGTTACTGTATATCATGTGACTGGCCATTTGCCTTTGGCATCCCCAGGGAATGCTGAAGCACACACATTCGCCCATGCACTTAACACATTTCCTTCTATGCACTGGCTAGAAGGAAAGCCTGCCTCTGATGTGGCCCAATGGCTACACCAGTGTTTGTTGCATGCAGGGCAAAAGACAATGTGTGCTGTAGCCCATAGGTGGGGCTTGCCATAGACCATTGAAGAAATCAGCAGAGCCCAGGAGTGCCTTGTGTACTTAAGAGGGACTTACACCGAATCCTGCAGCAACATGGGACAGTAGTAAGGGGGCCAATACCCCTTGTCAGGTGGTCAATAGACTATACTGGGCCTCTGCCCATATCAGAAAGGTATTAGTATGCCATGACATGTGTGTACATGGCTACTGGACTATTGGTTGCTTTTCCCATATGTCATGCAGATCAGCAAACCACCAAGAGGGGCCTGGAGCATCTCTGCAGCCTGTAGCTGGATGGAGGTGATTGAGAGCCATCAAGGCACCCACTTTACTGGACATGCATTATGAGAATGTGTGCAGCAATTAGGAATAAAGTGGAACTTTCATGTACCATATAACCCTACTGGGGGAGGCATGACAGAGAGGTACAACAGTTTGTTGAAATCTGGCCTGAAGTCGGACATCAATAGTCTATGGGGTTGGTCAGTTCGCTTATGAACCGTGCTGAGATGTTTGAATGGGAAGTCCCGAAAAGGAGCCTTGAGCCCTGTGGACATGCGCCCACACTCTGCTGCCTCTCCTATACAACTGTATGTGTAAACCAAGGAGGAGTTACTGTTGCCTGCAGAGTACATCTTGCTTCCAGCCTCAACTGCATTAAGCCCTGGAGACTCTATTGAGTGGACATGGCCCTGAACATTTCTACACATGGACCAAACATGACTGACCCTTCTGGAACCTTGGGGAGAGGGCCTGGAAGCTGGCCTCATGTGTGTTCCTGGAGTAACAGCAGAGTGGCCCCCAAAGGTCACAGTAGTGTACCCAAAAATCTAGGAGGTAATAGCATCACACAGGGAGGTTTTGTTTTATCTTTACGGCCAGTGCATGTACCTCCTGTGGCCATATATATCACCCCATCTGTAACTCCCACAGGGAGGGGGATGAAAGTCTGGTAACTAGACCAGGACAAGATCCCATTCCTGCCACTGTTTTATCACAAGACTGCTCTCTTGCATGTAGCCGACCTGATGGACAAGATTTGCCTTCGCTGGTGTCATTAAAACATGTATCTTATCACCCTTAAGGTTATTTTCTTTCTTAGTCCCTGTGGCCTGGACCCGTCCCCTGGTGGCAGCTGCTGTGTGATGATTGCTCTGAACTCCCTACCTGTTCAGCTACTGACTGCCTGCGGAATGGGCGAGCTATGGACTAAATCTGCATAGGACTTTGAACCTAGCTGAATCCTCCAGCTTGAGAATTAGCATGATTTTATTACTGTTGCTATTGTATGTCATTAGTGTGGTTACAGTGCTCCAGTTCTCTCACACAAGGGCCACTGCAGAAAATGGGGAGTGAGTAGATTGTGAGAAGTGGGCTGTAGGTAAAACTCTCTCCTGGCCTTAGTGCATCTGCATATCAAAAGGTGTTTCCAAGGGGTGGAGACAAGTAGTCCATCTCCACATCAATAGGTGATTGATTACAAGGGGGTGGGAAGAAATTATTTGCATACTATATCTAACAGAAATAATAGTCAGAGTATATAAAGAACTACAAATCAATAAAGAAAAACATTAAAATGAACAAAATAGTTGGACACTTAACACACAAAAAATATTGAAATAGCCAATAAGTATGTGAAAAGTTGCTTAGTCATCAGGAAAATGCAAGTTAAACCACAATGTTACATTACTACAAACCCACTAGAATGGCCAAATTTTAAAATGCTGACAGCAGTAATTGTTGGTCAGAGTTTGGAGAACCTGAAATTCTCATATATTGTCAATGGGATAAAGTGGTACGTTTGGTATTGGAAAACTTGGCAGTTTTAATTTTAGACAAATACCTACTCCATGACCCAGCCATTCTACCCCTAAGTATGTACCAAAAGATATATCCACAATTTATCCACAAAGACTCATGAAAGAATGTTTATAGACCTTATAAGTGTATATCAATTTATAATTTAAAAACAATGAACATGAAGAAATATACTTTCAGATAAATAAAAACTGAGTTTATCACCAGCATAACTATACTAAATGAACTTCTAAAAGATGTACTTCAGGAAGAGAGAAATGATTCCAATACAAGAAGGGATGGTGAAGAGAAGGGAATACTTTCAAACTCATTCTATGAAGCCAGCATCAAAGACACTACAAAAAAAGAAAATTACACGCCAGTATCCCTAATGAACATATATGCATGAGTCCTCACAAAATATTAACAAACAGAATTCAAAAGTACATCAGAAGGATCATTCATCATGACAAAGTAGGGTGTATCCGAGGGATGCAAGAGGCAAAGATGGTACAACATTCGGAAATCCATCAACATCATCCACCACATTAACAAAAAGGACAGAAGCCACATGATCACCTCAATAGATGCTAAAAAAGCAACTGACAAAATCCAACATCCACTCTTGAGAAAAACTCTCAACAAAATGTGTCTAGAGGGTACGTACCTCAACATAAAAAAGGCCATATATGACAACTCTATAGCTAGCATACTCAATGGTGAAAAGCTTTTCCTCTGAGATTGGGAACAAGACAGGGATGCCCACTCTCCCCAATGTTATTCAACATAGTACTGGAGGTTCTAGCCACAGCAATCAGACAACACAAAGAGATAAAAGGCATCCAGATTGGCAAGGAAGAAGTCAGACTGTCCCTGAATGCACAAATGAATGTTTATTTCACTTGGAAGATGTAGATGAGTCGGTGCAGGCTGTTGACAGCATCATTTTTTTTCACATATGGATCTGAATCTTTTTGCTTGGGTACTTCTATATGGATTGTGTCTGCATGAAAGAAAGATAGATTTATAAATCTTTCATTATTTCTACATATTTTTCTTAATGGTTATAAAATACAAATATTTTTACACAAAATTCTGGTCAGTCTTTTCATTTTCTAATATCTGAAACTTTGTCACGCCTCCAAAGCAAACATTCATGTCTGTTTCAGGGCTCAACATAGTGGCAGAAGACTGAAGGAAGAAACCTTGTAAAGACTCCTAGAAAGAATACTCTGAGGCAATGAACATCTGCATCATGACATTCTCCACATGCTTCCACATTACCACAGCTTGCTTCCACTTTGATGCTCAAGTTGTTTTCTCTGCCTGTAATGCCAAACTTCTATCATCTGTAAATCCCTAGTTAAAATCCTCCTTATCATTTGATACTTCCTACCCTGAAACCTTCCATTCCTGAATTAATTATTCTCTTCTTTGACCTCCCATGGTACTTTGTACTTTCCTATCAGTTATATCTTTCTATGTTACATCCTTTTCCCTACTCTTTTGACTAGCTATTAATGTGTAAATTTTAGCACTCAGCTTAGGTATCACTTCTCTGGGAAGTTGTTCCTGAAATCTCCAGGCTGAGTTACCCTCCAGCAGTAGAGGACCAGGTCTGCACAGTTCTATGTCTTTTTTTTTAAATTTTGGTATCATTAGTCTACAATTACATGAGGAACACTGTGTTTACTAGACTCCCCCCTTCACCAAGTCCCCCCCCGACATACCCCATTAGTCACTGTCCATCAGTGTAGTAACATGCTGTAAAATCACTACTTGTCTTCTCTGTGTTGCACAGCCCTCCCCGTGCCCCCTCAACCAACATTATACATCCTAATCGTAAGGCCCCCTTTCTTCTTCTCCCCCTTCTCCCTCCCTTTCCACCCATCATCCCCAGTCCCTTTCCTTTGCTAACTGTTAGTCCATTCCTGGGTTCTGTGATTCTGCTGCTGTTTTGTTCCTTCAGTTTTTCCTTTGTTCTTATATTTCACAGATAAGTGAAATCATTTGGTATTTGTCTTTCTCTGCCTGGCTTATTTCACTGAGCATAATACCCTCTAGCTCCATCCATGTTGTTGCAAATGGTACAATTTGTTTTCTTCTTATGGCTGAATAATATTCCATTGTGTATATGTACCACATCTTCTTTATCCATTCATCTACTGATGGACACTTGGGTTGCTTCCATTTCTTGGCTATTGTAAATAGTCCTGCGATAAACATGGGGGTGCATCTGTCTTTTTCAAACTGGGCTGCTGTATTCTTAGGGGAAATTTCTAGAAGTGGGATTCCTGGGTCAAATCGGATGTGTATTTTGAGCTTTTTGAGGAACCACCATACTGCTTTCCACAATGGTTGAACTAATTTACATTCTCACCAGCAGTGTAGGAGGGTTCCCCTTTCTCCACAACCTCGCCAACATTTGTTGTTGTTTGTCTTTTGGATGGTAGTGATCCTTACTGGTGTGAGGTGATATCTCATTGTGGTTTTAATTTGCATTTCTCTGATGTCTAGCGATGTGGAGCATCTTTTCATGTGTCTGTTGGCCATCTGAATTTCTTCTTTGGAGAACTGTCTGTTCAGCTCCTCTGCCCATTTTTTAATTGGATTGTTCACTTTTTGTTTGTTGAGGTGTGGAGCTCTTTATATATTTTGGATGTCAACCCTTTATCAGATCTGTCATTTATTAGTATATTCTCCCATACTGTAGGATGCTTTTTTGTTCTATTGATGGTGTCCTTTGCTGTACAGAAGCTTTTCAGCTTGATATAGTCCCACTTGTTCATTTTTGCTTTTGTTTCCCTTGCCTGGGGAGATATGTTCATGAACAAGTCACTCATGTTTATGTCCAAGAGATTTTTGCCTGTTTTTTTCTAAGAGTTTTATGGTTTCATGACTTACATTCAGGTCTTTGATCCACTTCGAATTTACTTTTGTGTATGGGGTTAGACAATGATCCAGATTCTAACTGGATTCTCTTACATGTAGCTGTCTAATTTTGCCAACACCAGCTGTTGAAGAAGCTGTCATTTCCCCATTGTATGTCCATGCCTCCTTTATCATATATTAATTGGCCATATATGTTTGGGTTAATGTTTGGAGTCTCTATTCTGTTCCACTGGTCTGTGGCTCTGTTCTTGTGCCAGTACCAAATTGTCTTGATTACTGTGGCTTTGTAGTAGAGCTTGAAGTTGGGGGGCGAGATCCCCCCTGCTTTATTCTTCCTTCTCAGGATTGCTTTGGCTATTTGGGGTCTTAGGTGGTTCCATATGAATTTTAGGACTATTTGTTTCAGTTCGTTGAAGAATGCTGTTGATAATTTGATAGGGATTGCATTAAATCTGTAGATTGCTTTGGGCAGGATGGCCATTTTGACGATATTAATTCTTTCTAGCCAGGAGCATGGGATGAGTTTCCATTTGTTAGTGTCCTCTTTAATTTCTCTTAAGAATGTCTTGTAGTGTTTGGGGTATAGGTCTTTGCCTTCCCTGGTTAAGTTTATTCCTAGGTATTTTATTCTTTCTGATGCAATTGTGAATGGAATTGTTTTCCTGACTTCCCTTTCTATTGGCTCATTGTTAGTGTATAGGAAAGCCTCAGATTTCTGTGTATTAATTTTGTATCCTGCAACTTTTCTGTATTCCGATATCAGTTCTAGTAGTTTAGGAGTGGAGTCTTTAGGGTTTTTTATGTACAATATCATGTCATCTGCAAATAGTGACAGTTTGACTTTTTCTTTACAAATCTGGATTCCTTGTATTTCTTTGTTTTGTCTGATTGCCGTGGCTAGGACCTCCAGTACTATGTTGAATACAAGTGGGGAGGGTGGGCATCCCTGTCTTGTTCCCGATCTTAGAGGAAATGCTTACAGCTTCTTGCTGTTCAGTATGATGTTGGCTGTGGGTTTTTCATGTATGGCCTTTATTATATTGAGGTACTTGCCCTCTATACCCATTTTCCTGAGAGTTTTTATCATGAATGGATGTTGAATTTTGTCAAATGCTTTTTCAGCATCTATGGAGATGATCATGTGGTTTTTGTCCGTCTTTTGGTTTATGTGGTGGATGATGTTGATGGATTTTCGAATGTTGTACCATCCTTGCATCCCTGAGATGAATCCCACTTGATCATGGTATATGATCCTCTTGATGTATTTTTGAATTCGGTTTGCTAATATTTTTTTGAGTATTTTTGCATCCACGTTCATCAGGGATATTGGTCTGTAATTTTCTTTTTTGGTGAGGTCTTTGCCTGGTTTTAGTATTAGGGTGATGCTGGCTTCATAGAATGAGTCTGGAAGTATTTCCTCTTCTTCTATTTTTGGAAAACTTTAAGGAGAATGGGTATTATATCTTCTCTGTATGTCTGATAAAACTCCGTGATAAATCCGTCTGGCCCGGGAGTTTTGTTCTTGGGTAGTTTTTTGATTACCGCTTCAATTTCTTTGCTGGTAATTGGTTTTTTCAGATTTTGTGTTTCTTCCTTGGTCAGTCTTTGAAGGTTGTATTTTTCAAGGAAGTTGTCCATTCCTCCTAGGTTTTCCAGCTTGTTAGCATATAGTTTTTTGTAGTATTCTCTAATAATTCTTTGTATTTCTGTCGGGTCTGTCGTGATTTTTCCTTTCTCATTTCTGATTCTGTTGATGTGTGTAGATTCTCTTTTTCTTTTTATAACTCTGGCTAGTGGCTTATCTATTTTGTTTATTTTATCAAAGAACCAGATCTTGGTTTCATTGATTTTTTTCTATTGTTTTATTCTTCTCAATTTTATTTATTTCTTCTCTGATCTTTATTATGTCCCTCCTTCTGTTACTTTGGGTTTCATTTGTTCTTCTTTTGCCAGTTTCAATAATTGTGTTTTTAGACTATTCATTTTCGATTGTTCTTCCTACTTTAAATAGGCCTGGATTGCTATATACTTTCCTCTTAGAACTGCTTTCGCTGAGTCCCACAGAAGCTGGGGCTTTGTGCTGTTGTTGTCATTTGTTTCCATATATTGCTTGATCTCTATTTTGATTTGTTCATTGATCCATGGATTATTTAGGAGCATGTTGTTAAGCCTCCATGTGTTTGTGAGCCTTTTGCTTTCTTTGTACAATTTATTTCTAGTTTTATACCCTGTGGTCTGAGAAGTTGGTTAGTAGAATTTCAATCTGTTTGAATTTACTGAGGCTCTTTTTGTGGCCTAGTATGTGGTCCATTCTGGAGAATGTTCCATGTGCACTTGAGAAGAATGTGTATCCTGCTGCTTTTGGGTGTAGAGTTCTGTAGATGTCTATTAGGTGCATCTGTTTAGTGTGTTGTTCAGTGCATCTGTGTGTCCTTACTTATTTTCTGTCTGATGGATCTGTCCTTTGAGTGAGTGGTGTGTTGAAGTCTCCTAAAATGAATGCATTGCATTCTATTTCCTCCTTTAATTCTGTTAGTATTTGTTTCACATATGTTGGTGCTCCTGTATTGGGTGCACAGATATTTATAATGGTTATATCCTCTTGTTGGACTGAGCCCTTTATCATTATGTAATGTCCTTCTTTATCTCTTGTTACTTTTTTTGTTTTGAAGTCTGTTTTGTCTGATATTAGTACTGCAACACCTGCTTTTTTGTCCCTGTTGTTTGCATGAAATATTTTTCCATCCCTTGACTTTCAGTCTGTGCATGTCTTTGGGTTTGAGGTGTGTCTCTTGTAAGCAGCATATAGATGGGTCTTGCTTTTTTATCCATTCTATTACTCTGTGTCTTTTGATTGGTGTATTCAGTCCATTTACATTTAGGGTAATTATTGAAAGATATGTACTTATTGCCATTGCAGGCTTTAGGTTCTTGGTTACCAAAGGTTCAAGGTTAGCTTCTTTACTATCTTACTGTCCAACTTAACTAGCTTATTGAGCTGTTATAATCACAGTCCCATGATTCTTTATTTCTGTCCCTTCTTATTCCTCCTCCTCCATTCTTTGTATGTTAAGTGTTTTATTTTGTGTTCTTTTGTGTTTCCTTTAACTGCTTTTGTGGGTAGTTGATTTTATTTTTTGCCTTTAGTTAGTATTCGATTGTTCCGCTTTCTTTGCTGTGATATTATTTTCTCTGGTGACATCTGTTTAGCCTTAGGGGTGCTTCCATCTAGAGCAGTCCCTCTAAAATACCCTGTAGAGGTGGTTTGTGGGAGGCAAATTCCCTCAACTTTTGCTTGTCTGGGAATTGTTTAATCCCTCCTTCGTATTTAAATGATAATCATGCTGGGTACTGTATCCTTAGTTCAAGGCCCTTGTTTCATTGCATTAAATATATCATGCCATTCTCTTCTGGCCTGTAACATTTCTTTAGAGAAGTCTGATGATAGCGTGATGGGTTTTCCCTTGTAGGTGACCTTTTTCTCTCTCTGGCTGCCTTTAAAACTCTGTCCTTGTCCTTGATCTTTGCTGGGTCTTTAGCAGTCCTGGACTCCCTCTCCCTCCCTGCTCCGACTCCTGTCCTCCCGCCGGGGTGCTGGGGTAGTGGTGTTGCTCGGCTCCCACCGGGCCGTGGCTTGTATCTTACCCCCTTCGCGAGGTGCTGGGTTCTCGCCGATGTAGATGTAGCCTGGCTGTTGTCCTGGATCTTCTGGTGTCTCTTTTAGGAATAGTTGTATTTGTTGTATTTTCAAAGATATATGTTTTTGGGAGGAGATTTCCGCTGTCCTACTCATGCTGCCATCTTGGCTCCTCCCCTCCATGTGTCTTTTTACAATGCTGGAAATGTTACAATTAGTTTTTCTTCTATGAGATATCAACAGTGGGTAAAATATGTATATATTGTAAGACTCTACTGGTTTTGCCGCCACAGACTGCACGTGTCTACCAAGGTCCTGAGTAACAACAGCTCAAACACACCTTATTTCTTGTGAAGGGAGTGGATAGATTGCTGGTGTTTAAGCCTGGTTGGGTATAAAATATGGGTTGAGGAACCATTACAGAAGGAGCTCCAATTGGAGGTGGTACCTGTGAATTTGAAAGAAGAAAACAAAACTATTTTTTCCAGAAAAAAGTGAAAACTTCATTGGTATTTAATTGCTCTCTTAATGCAATAGTACTAAGAGGACAAGTAGCCCCTCTAGACTTAATATTACATGTAATGAACATCAACTGAAAGGAAAGGTGAATGCCAGGTACAAAAAAACCCAGAAAAATAGATCTGTGAATGGCTGCTAGTAATAAAGTGTGATGGAGGAACATGTAAAGAGTACTTCTTAAAAACCAAGTTTTATTTAACTGCCAATAAGGCCTACAAAGGACTCTTTATGAGAAATGGAGCTTCTGTACCTCAAGGTCAGTAACTCCCACAGGAAATCTGTAGGTAGACATGGAACATGTTCAATATAGAATGTATGTATCTTTGATGAAATACTTCAGTACATGTATGTGATTTGACAGGACTTTTTAAAGGTTAAATGTGAAGTATATGTAGGAATTTTCCTGGTGAAAGGAGTAAGAGAAGGGCAGGCACACCAGGCTAAGGCAGTGAGCAAAACCCTATGTATGCAGATATAATTTGACATATGTATACACATTTTGAAACATTTTCAAAAGATGAAAGAAGAAACTTTCATGAAGAACAAATATAAAGAGGTTATACAGACCCATTAGATAAAGACTTGACCACCTCCCCTCCCTGTTTAAAACCCTTAAGTGGATCCTGATTGTAGAAGTGCAAACTCCTTAGCATGACTTACCAAGCCGACTGCTTCTTGATCTTTATCTACTTCACTTTTCCCTCCCAAGTTGAGGCAATATGGGCTGTACTCAAGGACAACTGGATAAATTAGAAACTGTTCAAATGACTTATATCTAAAGGCTAATCATTAATGTGTTGACCTGCTGAGAGGTTTCTAAGTCCTTTAAAGTTATCTTTACCCAAGTTAACAATGGAACTGTAAAGGAGATGCTCACTGAGCATGTGAATAACATATATATTGCAAAGGATAGTGAATATATTAAATAGAATCAGAAACATTAATGCTTTTGACAGGCTAGAGATAGGGTCCCAATTGAATAAGATGAAGTTTAACAGAGATAACTATTAGGGTTTGTATTTGGATGTTAAAAAACACCCATGGGATTATTTTTAACTCCCACAGGGGGAAAAATGAATGAAAGAGAAGTGAAAAGGACTAACAGAATTTTAGTTGATAGTAAGGTTAAGTTTTAAGGTTAAAGTTAGATTTTCCTGTCCTTCCTACTGTTTTAACCCCATGCAAGCAATTTAAAAGCAGCTCCCAGCTATCTTCAGTACAGGACTGCCGACTCTACAGGACTAACCAAAGGGTACTAAGAATTCAGCCTTACAATCCAGTGCTGCTCATAAATCACCAAAATTGCTTTTGCCCAAGGATGGAGACCTTGGTCCACTCCCATGATGCCATCAGATACTGGACCCTGGAATAGCCCCATGTGCTGAACAGATTGAGTGCTCTGACGTTTTAGGGAATCTAGGTGTTATACTAATAACAGATGCCCTCTGGTTAATGATGTCTAACCTTGAATCTGTCACACTCCCTTTGGGACTTGGACACTGATAGCCCATGTTTCCCTGTGGAATAATATCTCAGCTCTACTTCATTCCCTTATATTCCTGTTAAGTCAACTTCCTCTAGGATGGGGTCCACACTTGCTTTGAGCATACAGGCACACATAGCAGCATATAATACTCTAATCCTCTTTTGGGGATTAACTGGGAAACACAGTTCATTATTAAAGAGGTTGCACAAAGAAGCCCAAAAAGAAGACAGAAAAGAGGTGGGAGGTAGGAGGAAAACTAAGAGTATGGTGTTTCCCACCCCATGAGAAGCAGTCCTCTTCCCCCACTGGCCACTCCCTTTCTACCTCCTTTGCATATCATTCTGGGGAGAGGAAATGGTGAGTGTGAAAGCCTTGGAATGATGTGCCACATGGACTGTTCCCTCTTCTCTTTCAGTTTCCTGCTCAAGACTGAGTCACATTCTCAAAAAGAGTTCACTGACCAGCCTATTTAAAACGGAAACCTACCCCAATACTGTTAATTCTTCTTCCCTGCTCTTTTTCTCCATAGCACTTGTCACCTTATTTATCTCTGTTTGTGCCTGTCTCCATGTATGTCCCACAAGGGCATGGATTTTTGTTTCTTTTGATTGTTACTATATTCTCAGCTCCTAAAACAGCACCTGGAACATAGCAGATGCTTAATGAATATGTGCTGACTGAGTGGTAGGAGAGAAGAGTTGAGTAAGGTAAGGACAGAGAAGTAATTTTTAGATTGACCTTCATGTCAGGAATTTAACCAGAAGAGTGGGAGGCTACCTGGTATGCTCAAAGAACAACAGGCAAGCACAATGCCTCAAATGAACTAAGAAAGGCAAGAGTGCCAGGAGATGAGCACAGAGGGGTAGCATGGAGGACCCTGGCCTTTACTCCATCAGAAATGAGAGTCAGTTGCAGCAGCGTGGCATTTCTTACACTATCAGCCAATCATTCTGGCTGCATTGTGGAGAAGACTGTAGGATACAAGGGCTGAGGATACATTTTGAAAATAAAGCCAATACCATTTGCTCATGAATTGGATATGGAATAAAAGAGGGGCATCAAGGAGGACTCTAAGACTTCTGGCCTAAACAACCAGAAGGATGGAGTTGCCATCAGCTGTGATTGGGAAGGTTGCGGTTAGAACAGCTTTGGGGAGATCAAGATTCAGTTTCGGACATGTGAAGTTTAAGATGCCTATTATACATCCAAGTAAAGATGTTAGTTAGGCAATTGGATATATAAATCTGGGTATGAGGGAAGAACTCTAGGCTGGCAATACAAGTTTGGTAGTCATCAGTATATAAATCATATTTAAAGCCATGATTTAGATGGAATCACCAAGTAAGTGAGTGTCAATAGAAAACATACTCCAAGACTGACCCCAGGGCACTCCAATATTTGGTGTTGGGAAAGAGGAGACTGAGAAGGAACAATGAGCTGAGAGCATGATGTCCTAGAAGTTAAGTGCAAAACGTGATTCAAGGAGAAGGGAGTGGTCAGTTGTATCGAACGTCACGGATTAGACATGATGTGGACTGAGGTGTGACCAGGGAATACGGTAATATGGAGGTTACTTGTGACTAAGATAAGAACAATGGGGGCAGGCAGAATCCTTATTGGAATAGGTTCAAGAGAGAATGAGATAAAAGATACTACCGAATTGTACTATATTAATATGTGGAATATCACTGAGGCATTATAATTAACTATAATAATTATATCTAGATAGATCTCAAAAATTTAAGTACAAAATGATACCAATTATAATCAGTAAGGAAATAAATCTATCCCTAGAAAAATAAAGGTAAAACTAATTAGAAAAAGACTTCTAAAAATTAGTTAAGGGAATCACTAGATACAAAAGGTGTGCAAGAAGACATCATATACATAAGTGTATATGATGGATGGGGAGTTAAAAATGTAGCACTACTGGAATATGTTTGAGCTTAAGCAGTCGTCAACTTAACAGAGAGTGCTATATGTGTAAGATGTCATGTATAAACTACATGGTAACCACAAGCCAAAAACCTACCAGAGATACACAAAAAAATAAAGAGAAAGGAATTCAACCATAACACTAAAGGAAGTCATCATGCACGAGAAAGGATCATGGAAGAATGACAAAACAATCAGAAGACATTTAACAAAATGGCACTAAGTACATTCCTATCAATAATTGCTTTAAATGTAAATGGACTAATGCTCCAGTCAAAAGACATTTCTCAATAGAATGGAAATGATATCAGAAGGAAACTTAGAATATAAAAAATGAAGGAAGATAAAGGGACCTATGTAGTGCTCATATCTCTACAACAAACGGCGGGGGGCAAACAGAAAACAAATAATAAAATGGTAGATCCAACTACAAACACATCGATGATGAAATTAAATGCAATGGTCTAAACATACCAAGAGTTTGTCAGAATGGACTTAAAAAGTAACCCAACTATACACTAAAGACAAGAAAGACAAGAAAGTCACATCAAATACAATTATATAGGATGGAGGAAAGATATGAAAATAGTAACCGAAGGAAAGCTACTACAGTAATATCAAAGTAGACTTCAAAGCAAGGAAATTACCAGGGATAAAATGGAACATTATATATTGATAAGAGGATCAGTCACCAAGAAAACATAATAATCCTTAATGTGTATGCACCAAACAGCTGAGCTTCAAATTACATGAAGCAAAAACTGGCCAGACTGAAAGGAGAACTGGAAAAATCCATAAATATAGCTGAGGATATAAGGTAATTGACAGAATGACTACATAAAAAATCAGCAAAGATATAAGAACCAAACAACAAACATAATCAACCAAAAGGATCTAACTGACATTTATAGAATATTCCACTCAACAAGAGCAGAATGGGGACACTCACTGAGGTAGACTATATCCTGGGTCATGAATCAAAACTCAACAAATTTAAAATACTTTAAAGCATACAAAATACTTTCTCCAACCACAAAGGAATTAAACTAGAAATAAATAATAGATGGATAACCAAAAAATCTTCCAACACTTAGAAATTAACACACCTGTAAATAACCTATGAGTCAAAGAAAATCAGAAAATCCACCGAACTGGACAAAAATTAAAATATAATAAAATGTGTGACTTACATCTAAAACAGGGATTAGGGGGAATTTTATAGCATTAAACAGTTAGGTGACAAAATAAGAAAAGTATCGAATAAAAAGTCTAAACTTCTACATCAAGAAAGTAGGAGCAAAATGAACCCAAATCAAGCTGGAGGAAGGAAATAACAAGGATAAGAGCAGAAATCAATACAACAAAAAAAGGCAAGTCAATAGAATTCAGTGGAACTAAAGGTTGAGTCTTTGACAAGACAATAACTCTCCAGGCAAAATTGACAAACAGAAAGAACACATACCACCAATATCAAAAACAAAAGAGTGGAATAATTAGTGCTCACAATATAGGGGGGTCACAAGAAGGCAGTACAGCGTGGAGAAGACAAGTAGTGACTCTGTGGCATCTCACTACGCTGATGGACAGTGACTGCAATGGGGTGTGGGGGGAGTTGATAGTACGGGTGAATGTTGAAACCACGATGTTGCTCATGTGAAACCTTCATAAGACTGTATATCAATAATACCTCAATGAAAAACTGTGCGTGCTCACAGACAAGTAATGACTCTATATAGCATCTTACTATGTTGATAGATAACGACTACAATGGGGTGTGTGGGGGGACTTGACAATACGGGTGAATGTTGAAACCATAATGTTGCTCATGTGAAACCTTCATAAGACTGTATATCAATGATACTTTAATTTAAAAAAAAGTAAGAGAGAATAGAGATGCCATCACCTAACTTAGCACTTACCAACTCATCACTGGTCTTATCTTACGTAAGTTTTAGATGATGTAATCATATTTGTGTGTTTTTTAAACATACCTTGCTTTTGCCAATAAAATGTCTTTTTGTTTAAAAAAAAATGAAAAGTAAAAAATAAATAAAAGAGTGGAGATTACCACAGATTTTGTAGACAGTAAAAGGAAAATAAGGGGGATAGGTGAAAGAGGTGAAGGGGGAAAACTAGAACGTTTGCTATCTTGACCCGGGTCATGGTCACATGAGTGTACACACATGTTAAAATTCATCAAGCTGCACACTAAGATTTTGCAGTTTATTTAAGGACCTCAATAAAAAAGTAAAGAAAACATTAAAAAAAGGAAAATAAGAGAATACTATCAATCAATAGCTGTATGAACATAAATTTGACCCACACTATAATGTTGTTTCAATATTTCATCCTTTTTACTCAAACCCGAAACTTCCTTGTTATACTCCGTCTAGGTTCTTAGTCATCTATGCTGCCATATGTTATTCTCACACCTACTGCAGCAGTGCAACCAGTACACCTTTCTCCAGTACATTCTGAAATTATTTATTCCTGCTTTCCAAATTCCATCAAAATTCTCATTCCTAGAATGCACTGAAGCAGCGTATTAGGGATACAAAGTAACAATGTACTCAATAGTTAATATGCAGTTATACCATTGGACCAACGAAGTTTTAAAGCAAAACCATACAAAAACAGCACAGGTCTGCATCTTTTATGTTAAGTCCTTGGGGCCAAATGTGTTTTGGAGATCAGAATGTTTTGTATTTTAGGAAGATAATTTAGAAATTACACATAGACCATATCAGTAACACCCCTAGGTGCTGGAATATGTTGCAAACATAACAGAAGACTTGTTTTACGGAGCTTTTTGAATTCTAGAATTGCAGGTAATTTATTGGAAACCTATATTTCCACTTTCAATCAATTAGAAACTCCTATCAATTCTATCTGTGTATGTCTCTCCTAAACCTCCTTCTTTCAATCTACTTGCCACCATTCTAGCACTCCAGATCTCTTGCCTGGATGACTTCAAAATACTTCTAAGTGATTTCTGCAATCTGTGTCTTATTTCCCTACTATTCACATTCCACAGTCCTCCCAGACTAATCTTTCAAAAATGTAAAAGTGATTGTGTCATAGCTTTGGCTCCCCACTGCTTATAATACAAAGCCCAAACTCCCATACAAGTTCTAACAAGATCTGGTCTCCATTAAATGCTCTAGCTTTATCTCTTGTTGCACCCATCAGACATTATGCAATAGCTATGTTAAACTACTTACAATTCAGTTTCCGGCCTTTGCCTACACTGTTCCCTCTGCTTAGAATGCCCCATTTGCCAACCAAGGACTGTCAATTCATGTCATTTCCTTTTACCTCATGTTCAGCTCCTTTATGAAATTAACCAACACACCCTCTGAAGTATTCCACTGTAGCACTTATAATATTCAATGCCTCTAGTTGATGTGCCTTTCAGCATTGTGCCTGATACCTAGTAGGTGCTCAATAATTGTGCAACAAAATAGTGGAAGTATAGATTCTGTGATGGGGAGAAAACTAGACCTTATAGAAAGTCCTGAATTTGAATTTTTACATTTTAATTTATGTAACAGCTTAATATATCTATAACAATTGTTAGTAAAATACATTAAATTTGATTAGAAAGAAAACATTTCTTGCTCTATTTCCTAAATACAAATCTCTATGTTATATGTATATACCAAAAAGTAAAAAAAAAAAAGTGATAATACATCAGAATTGTTACCATGTGGAGCACAGAAGGAAGAGAAACAGGCTGCCAGATGGCTGATGTGCAGGTGCGGGTATTCAACGGCTGATTTATTCCACCAGAAATGTCCATCTTTGAAGGCTGACACCACTGCATGTCAGATCTAAAATGGGATTTATAAATCAGCCTGTTCTGGAGAATGACAAATCTACCATTTAAACATATGGTCAAGATATAGCCTTTGAGACAATGTTTATGCTATTAACAGGTAAGACGTAATAGGAAGGAATCACAAAACAAAGCCCAAAAAATAACCATTGGCTCCTTTCTGTATGAAATTAAGTTATTTCACAAAACTAAATATTTCAGCTTAGTTTTGATAATGCCAAATTTAAATTCCTCACTAACAAAGTTTGAGAGTTCATAGAAAGAAATGAGTGGCAGAAGTTTCCCATAAGAAAATAAACTTAAATAGATACAGTGTATTCTAAACTATTTTAAGAGTTTATCTAGAGGGAAAAGAAAACTAGTATTCCTCATGGTGGTGGGTCAAAAGGGCACTATGGTTCTTGTCTCTAAAAGTTCATATTTATTCTGTATTCATCATTTGACTTACCTAAATTGGATTTATATATAGGTGATACAGACTTTAAAAAGTCAGAGTGCTAAAAGGTCTAAAATCAAAGATATCAGTTACCACTTCCCCTTCCCCAAAGTAGTCCACTCTTTTCCTTATGGTATTTAATTTCATAATCCTAAATATGTTTATGCTACTATATCATCATTTATAAATTTTAAACATTATTCAAGTCCTCTGGAAGATTTAGCACTCACACTATACCCTACTTACCCTCCCACCTCCCATCATCTTTGAAATATAGTTTATACACACACACACACAGCCAGTGCCGGCATTCAAATCCCACTGCAGCCATTTAGTAACCGTATAAGGATGGCAAGTTATAGAATCTCTGCATCTCAGTTTTCTCATATGTAAAATGTGGATTCTCTGCATTCAATCAACAGATATCCAACAAATATCCATGAAATACCCACTAGATGCCTGGGGCTTGGAATATATATAAAACACATGAAAATATCTGCCTTCATGGAGCCTATGATCTAGTGGAAATAATATCTACCTCAAGTAGGATTAAATGAGTTATTATGTGTAAAATGCTTAGAATGAACAGTATCTTGCTCAGAGTAAACAATAAATACACATATCAAATAATCTGTCATTTTAATTTTTTCCTGGAGACATCTGTCCTGGAGCTCTATGTCCTTCTGTTCTGATCTAAACTGGCTGCTCTCTAGGCCTGCTGTACAAATGTCACCCTGAGACTTCCACCATTGTTATCTTAGGAATTCCCTTCACCTCTCACTTAAGTAGAACTGTATGTTTCCCTGAGTCCCATGTGTTCAACCTTTCCAATACTAGGATGTTTTCAAAGTTCAATTCTGGACCTACAACTTTTATCCTCTATTCTCCACTAAGATAAGTAAATGAAGTCTTAAGGCTTTAACCACCACACTGATGATTCACAAATTTTTATCTCCAGCTCTAATACCTAATATATAGCTCTAATACCAGACTCTATATCTAGTATTGGTAATATCCATATCTACCTGCTTATCTAATACTTCTACATTTTCTTTTCTGTTTAATCAGAGGAGCTTATTTTATTGGGTTTTACAAAGAAATAAATTTTATCTTCCTAATATATTTTTTGTTATTTTATATCTATTTTCTTAAGATAAAAACTAAATTCTTAATGTTTCCTTTTTTAACAGTGATGAAATTTTTCTGAGTGTAGCTTTCCCAGTGCCCCATTAGCTTTGGTACGAAGTTCTCTTTTTCATTACCTTGAGATAGTTGATGACTTTCCATTGAATTTCCTCCTTGCCAAAAGGATTGTATTTTCAAATTTGTAAGTAGTTGAGATTTTCAATGGTCAACTTTTTATTAGTTAGCTCTAACTTTGTTAGATTATGAGACAATGCAACCTATACAATACTTCAGCTTTTTGTTAAGGTTTTCTTTGTGATTGCTTTGAAGAAAATGAATATTCTATGTGTGTACACTCAGTTTTATTTATCATGTATTATTTAAATTCCTCTATGTCCTTACCTATGTTTGTCTACTAGATCCATCCAAAAATGAAAGAGGTGGTTTAGAATCACCCGTTATAACTGTATCTTTCTTAAGTTATCCATGTATTTCTAATAATTTTTGCTTTATGTTTTAGCTTTGCGCATACACTAGTAAGACCACTATATCTCCATGAACAGTGCCTTTTATCATGATACGATACCTGTCCCTATTCTGTGTAATGCTTTTGACCCATACATTCCAAGTTATTTGTTGTCTATATTATCACTTCTGTCTTCCTTTGGTTTCCATTGGCCTGGATTTTTTTATTGTGTGTTTGCTTTGGCTGAAATGCAGTGATTCACTCACTGAAGTAACACTGATTATCTTAAGATGTTGAGGAGCTCCAACTGGTAGTTTCATTGTCTCTGTTTAATAAAATACAGTCTACATCATAAAGTAAGAAAAAAAACAAGAATACAAAGAACTATGAGGAATGCCAATATTTAAGACGTTCTTAGGAAAAGAAGATCCTTCAAATGAACTGTGAAGGGATTGTCAGAAGGGTAGGGGGAGAACCGTGTAATACAGCATATTTTAAGTAAGAACTTTACCTACAAAAATTTGGGTAGTATATAAAAAATAAATTTTCTACTTTTATTATTTAAGTAAAAAATTCACATTAGAGTTTTATAACAAATGATTCCTACATCTAATTTTAAAATAATTATTTTATATTTGTTACTCCCATGAGTCTCCTTCTCTAAAATGTATTTATTGGCTTTTTTAAATAATAAAAACTTGTTGACAAGGCTTTCTCCAAAGTTAAGATCTGTTTCATGAAACAAACACAAGTTTTACATTATTTTTACATAAATACTTCTTCTTAAGATGCATTTAAAAACATACATCTAAAATATTGATTTTAAAATAGGTGGTTACTTTCTACAAGGCTGGCAGGTGAGCCATCTGGGTTGTTTGCTACAATTGTTTCAGCAGGTTTGAGGGCTTGTGAAGGTAATGTTGGTTGTGATGTAACCTGAAGGGAAAATAATCTGAAAATAAGTGACAGAATTAGACGGAAACTTAAGCCAAGTTTATGTTAATATTGTAATAACATTATATGTAACATCCCGTTACAAACTAACAGGACCTCACATTATTAGGTTACTGAGTATAAACAAAGCCATGTTAAATTATTCACAAATTTTAATTGAGCACTTATGTGCTAGACACTGTACTAGGTCTAAGTTACTATAGTCTGAGTTACAAAGATACAGCGGAGTAAAAAAGATTAAAGCCTCTGCCTTCATGTAGCTTACGTTCTATAACCAAGGCAAACAAAGCACAGAAAATGTTAGATCATGGTAAGTGCCATGGACAAAATATCAGGGAGAGAGGTATATGTTGGTGGACGAGAGGCCATTTAAATTTTAGATGAGAAAGGCTCACTGAGAAGAGGACTTTTAAGTAAAAGCCTGAAGGATGTGAGAGAGAGAACCATGCAGATCCGGCAGAAGGAACAACACAAGCAGAAGGCCCTCAGGAAGGAGTATGTTTGGCATGTTTGAAGAACAGTGAGGCCAACGTGTCTGCAGTCAAAGTAACCAACGGACTCAGAAAGGCAGTGGAGAGCCTTGTAAAGAATTGTAAGGACTTTAGTTTTTATTGTAAGCCATCATTCCAGGCCAACTATTTGCCATTAACTGAGATGGGGAAAACCATAGAAAAAAACAGGCTTACAGTGGAGTATCAGAAACTTAGTTTTAGACCTAAATGAGTTTTGGGACTCTATTAAATATTCACATGAAATCACTGAATAGCCTCTGAGCCTGGATGAGGTCATCTAGGAAGTGAGTAAGTAGAGATACAGAAGAGACACAGTGTCTTGTAATATCTGTTGTAAGCACTGATTCCCAAACCACAGGGACTCAGAAAAGTCGCCATTCATTTGAAAATGAAGCAATAGTTTAGATCAAACTCACCCATTGAAAATGCAGAAGGTGTGTCCATTGAGAATATGTGCACAGAAGAAAAACAAAAACATTTAAAACACGTACATCTTAAGTCTTCAAGTTAAAACAAGAACTTTAATTTAAATACATATAAACTCTAAGAAAATTAGCTCATTATTACATGGATTTGTCTTTTAAAAACAGAATATGGCTGATTATGAGCAGTTGTGTGCCAGTAAGTGTGTAACAAACAGCTCTCCATAAAAAACAAAAGGCCTCTTTTATAATGCTTGTTCATCTCTGTGGTATAAAAACTTCCATCATGGCTAAGATCAGGGTACCAATGTGACATCAACCAGCTTGCAAAATTTCTGAAAATTTAGCAATGGGCTTTTAAGCTGGTATGAGCTAAAGACATAAAAAGGTATAGCACTGTATGCATGTATGTGTTTCTTCATGAAATTCATCTTTAAATCAGCAATTATTTACAAATTATAGCAAAAGTTACAAATGGTATACAGTGAAGACTCTCCTACCCACCCCTTTCCATGAACCACCGAATTCTTGGAGGCAGTATATTTTATTCAGTTCTTGTATATCCTTCCAGAAATATTAATAAATTAAATAAATATACATACTTTTTGTTTTCTATTTTTAAAAACAAAGTTGGTAGCATGCTATATTTTGTTTCACATTTGCTTATTTTCCACTTAACAATACATCTTGAAATGATCATTTCATTTCAGTACAGAAAAACAAGCCCCTTACTAATAGTCAGTTTGCTATTACAATGTTTTAATGGATAGCCTTGGTCATATATCATTTCCCAACTGTGAATGTATGTGTTGGATAAATTCCCAGAAATGAAACTGCTTCAGGAAGAGACAGCAGACATAGCAGTCAGTTAAGCAGCTAAGAAAAATGAAGTATTCTATATACTGTCCTCAATTATTACTTACATAATCGTATAATGGAGTTACATTACCTGCAGACGAAGGTCTGCTTGCTGAAGCTTTCACAAATGGATTATTTGGGATGGAGGGCATCAATGCATGCTGGAGACTTAAGAGATCACAAGAAAGGTGAGGCACAGAGGAGAATAGAATCACATATATATCCTACCCAACTGAGCCTACATTTCTTTAAGTCATCCGTCTATTATCCAACTATCACTCCATCCATCCAACTAAGTATTAACTATACATTTACCTGTGATAAAGAGGTAATTAAAAAATAGCCAACAGAGTTGTTGCCTACTAGGTGATAATATATATCAATTATAATCAATAAAACCTAAAATGCAGAATGAATAAATATTATATGATCTTCCTAGAAAATTCTGAATACTGAAAAGTACAAAAAAGAAAACTGAAATCAATCATGATTTTTCCACTGAGAAATAGCTGATGTGAAGATTTTAAAGCAAAATACCTCAAGATTTATATTATTCAACTTGTATGTATATGCATATATACAGGAATACATGTATGTGTATATGTGTATACTCACACACACATCTTGAGTGCTACTAGAGTAAAATAATGTGTAAAAGATGATTCCTTTGGGAAGCCTATCATCCTTGTGGAGAGTATAAAATCCTAAAAAAGACTGAAAAACCCTATTCCATATTATAATTTAAAATCACTCCATAGTATTCCATCATATTCAAAGCCTATAATTTATTTAGTCACTCCCATTTTGTTAAAATGAGGGAAATTATACAGAGGGGAACAGAATTAGCCTATATTAAGACATTTATTAACTTACCTGTAGGGAGGTAAAATGTCATTTTTCTTTTCCAGAGAAGCTAAATGTTGTTTTAGTGCTTCAAGTAAACTGAGGGGTGCCTAAAAATAGTCATTGTGAAAGTTACTTTCTGATAGTTCTTAGCAAATTCATAATCTCCTACATCATAAAAAGGTTTTGAACAAAAATTAAGATGCTATATAGCAAATGCATTAAAGCTAAATAATTACAAGTGGATTCATTATTAAAAGCAGGATCTTGGCATCAAATCAGATTTCCAAACAATGCTTTTATAGACATTTTTGAAAACAACACCAAAAAAGCCTCTTCAAATGCTCAAAGAACTGCTAAAATAGCTATCTATTCCCTTTGGAGAAGATGACATTGGGCTCGAAATGATTATTTGCGGTTCCTTCATGAGTCACCAGGTCACTAAATAAATTTAAGTAACATATTAAGCCTGATGGAAAGAGGGACAGGGGGACTGAAGGAAACAGAGAGAGACAACAAAAAAGGGACAAAGAATTTCACTCATATGAGCAAATTCAATCATGATCTCTGGTCTCTGCTGAAATGTCACTTCCTCAACAGGGATTTCCTTGACTACATTCATAAAATAGTGCCTAACAGCCTCTTTAATGTCACTATGTTTTATTTTTCTTCATGGCACTTCATTGAAATCATGTTTCTTTCTTTGTATGTTTATTGCCTGTTATGTTCACTGATGAATCTTAAGTGCTTGCCACATAGTAATTAATACTGGCTGAATATATGGATGCATCCTTTCATTCTCCATTCCCATTAAAAGTGGAGAAAGTGGGCTTCTTACATAGGTAATTCCCCACCAGGGTTCTAAATATCCCACCATCTCTTTCCTGATCTAATCACCCAATCTTCAAGAAAGATTTATTGATAAACTACTATATAGTAGGTACCAGGGATACAGCCATAAGCAAAAATAACCTGGTCCTAGGCTTCATGACCTGGGAAGCTCCAGTGTATAGATCTGGGGGAGGAAAGACATCAAATAATCACAAGAATAAATGTAAAATAAAGTTTTTTTTTTTTTGAGAGGGCATCTCTCATATTTATTGATCAAATGGTTGTTAACAACAATAAAATTCAGTATAGGGGGGTCAATGCTCAATGTACAATCATTAATCCATCTCAAGCCTAATTCTCGTCAGTCTCCAATCTTCTGAAGCATAACGAACAAGTTCTTACATGGTGAACGAGTTCTTACATAGTGAATAAGCTCTTACATGGTGAACAGTACAAGGGCAGTCATCACAGAAACTTTCGGTTTTGATCACGCATTATGACCTATAAACAATCAGGTCAAATATGAATATTCGTTTGATTTTTGTACTTGATTTATATGTGGATCCCACATTTCTCCCTTTATTATTGTTATTATTTTTATTTTTAATAAAATGCTGAAGTGGTAGGTAGATGCAAGATAAAGGTAGAAAACATAGTTTAGTGCTGTAAGAGGGCAAATGTAGATGATCAGATGATCAGGTGTGTGCCTATGGACCAAGTATTAATCCAGGCTAGACAAGGGCAGCAAGACATCCACGGATGCAGAAGATTTCTCTCAAAGCAGGGGGGGTGAGGTTCTGAGCCTCACCTCTGTTGATCCCCAAATTCTCACCTGATGGCCCCCCTGCAACTGTGCCTGTCTTAGGTTGTTCCTCCCTTGAGGAATCTTACCCGTCTCTGGCTAACCAGTCATCTTCCGGGGCCATACAGGGAAATGTAAAGTTGGTAAGTGAGAGAGAAGCCATATTGTTTGAAAAGGTTAGCTTTTTACTTCTTTGCAGAATTATGCCCTGTGGCTTCTATGCCCAGCACTTGTCTCGAGGTATCTTTACCACCTGGAGGAATTATGATACTCGGTAAATTCGATATGAGGCACGAATTCTATTTAAGGGTTGTAATTAGGAAGGAAGAAGAAAAGCTATAGATGTAGCATATGGAAAGAAACATGGGAGGATTGATTATTTCTTTGACATTTCTTCTTGTAGAGTACCTTAAGTATGTCTAGGTTTTAAACTACTAACTAATTTGCACACACATATTAACATAATAGGAATACTGTGACATAAACAGAGCAAATCTATAATTACCATCCATCTCTAGTGAAGCCAAGAAAACCATTTAGGCACCCTAGGCATTTGTGAAAATTTATCTATGATATGATGGATATTGTCCAACTGTACTTGAACAATCAGACAAATTAAAGCAGCCCATTTCTGGGATCTGTTCACATCCCATATGTTCTTTTGACCGTAGATAGTCTATAGTCATGAGATTTTGGAGTGCTACAACTTGCACCCCTCCCAACTCCTGGTTGAGTTCCAACAGTACAGATCCGGTCAAATTCGTTGTCTCACTGTATGCATATGCCAGCCTAGACATCTCCCTCCTCATTCCTATGGCAAGTCCAGGAGACGGTGGGGTGGATGCAGCCACAACCACAGCATCGTCCGGATACCTGTGGAGGCTTTTTGATGATCATCCCCCGGCACAAGTCCTCCAGAGAGTGCTGATGCCGGAAGCTCCTCCTCATATCGTATCTTAGTTCATTTTCTGGGTATCCAAGCTAGGCCTTGATCTTCTGCATAGAAACAAACAGACCCTTTGCCCACACTTTGACATGCCCTCTATACCACTGTGCAGAACTCATTGGAGGTCAGCACACAGGAACTGCTTTTTTTTTTATTTTTATTAAGAGAAAGGAATATTATCAGAAAAGAGTACCTCCATAGCTGATATCATCTGACACCCTTTAAGTGATCAACATTAAGGATATTTAAAGCATGCGTTGATCTTTGATTTACCAATAGTTCAGTACTCCCCCTTTTCTTTCTTTCTTTCTTCCTTTTTTTTTTTTAATTTTTAATCTACACTTACATGAAGAATACTATGTTTACTATGCTCTCCGCTATATTAGGTCCCCCCTAACAACCACATTACGGTTACTGTCCATCAGCTTAGCAAAATGTTGTAGAGTCACTACTTGTCCTCTCTGTGTTGTGCAGCCCACTAAATAAAGTTTTTAAAGTACTATGAAAGAGAGGTACATGATACTCTGATAGTGTTTAAGCAGGGAAATCTGACCAAGTCAGGGAAGTCAGGGAGGCAGGACCTCCTGAAGAAAGTAACAGGTAAGCTGAGATCTGCAGCATATTCAGGAGATAAGTAGGACAGTAGGAGAGGAACGAGCACTGCAGGCAGGAGAGCATGTGGCAAAGTCCTGGGAAGAGCATACGGCACGGACCAGGAATAAAGATGTTGCTTGAGCACAGAGAGCAAAGGGGAGTGTGTGGAAGATGAGGCTGGAGAGTAGGCAGGGGTTTGACAATGCAGGACCTTAAATTAAAGGCAATATTGAGGAGTTTGGGCTTCATTTCAGCAATATTGGGCAAGCACTGGAGGGCTTTTAAGCAAGCGGTGAAATGATGACATCTGTATTTTCCAAATTACCAGAACACCATTCTGGTTGCATTGTGTAAAACAGAGGGCAGAGTATATAGAGGCAGCCTGACTGGAAAGTGAGAGAGATGTGGAAGTTCAAGCTAGGATTATGTTACAGTGGCAGAGATGAACACAGATGGCAGCTGACACGGCAATGGGGGCAGGAAGGAACTGTTTACAGGGCTAAGGGACAATTCTGAGAGATAAAGGAGCACAGTGGGTCTTAAGAAAGGCAATAATTACAGTGTAGAGGGGCTGCCAGTATGAGGCAGCAAAGCAGAAATCTGCTCAGCAGGATTTTCTTGTTGCGCCAAATGTCAGGACCAGGAGAAGACCTGCCCAACGGTCCCAGACTCAGCTCGGGTTCCAGTGCCGCATCAGGAGCTGCTTGTGCTCAAAGCAGCAGCAGTTCTGGAACCCAGAACCCTGACCACATTCAGCACCATGGCTGCTTCCTAGCCCGCATCTAGGTACCAGACCCGACGGCCTCCACCCTCCCGCTGCAGGCTGAAAGGTGCCCCCACCACAAGCCTCCACAGGCCGAACTCCCCCTCATGCAGGGTTTGTGTTGTCTCCTGGTGGAGGGAGGTGTTTGTGTATGTGCGTACATGTGTGTGCCTGTTTGTGAGTAGTGTGTGTACATGCTCATGCTTATTTGACCCTTGCACAAAGCCCATGTGGTAGACTGCGTGACAAGGAAGCTCATTGTTAGGCTGGAGGAAGGAAAAACAAGGCCATGCAAACAGAACAGAGAGATGCCATAGGGGGAGAACACACCAGACGTCAAGGTCCATGCCTTATATGGAAAGGGGACAGCTCTCCCTGAATTCCATCCTTCTGATGTGCCAACTAAGACCCGGATGTCAGCCTCCTCTCTCTTGGAAGGAAAAAAGTTTCTAGCTGTCTATTATGTCACCTTTAGCCAATCATACCTCTGCACGCCCCCTAGGATAGCTTGCCCACTCCTCCCCCTCCTAAGCCCTTATAAGCCCCCACGTCCCTGACCGGGTGTGACTTCCCTGGCCTGTGATACCCAGACCGCGGAACATCGCCCGGGAGTTGCGCTCACATAAACTGCCTGGCCCTTTGTTGCCTTTCTTCGCCTGCTTATTTCGGCTAAAATTTATCTTACACTCATCTTCAGGGAAGTCCTGTATTTCATCCAAGATAGTATGAGCTTTTAAGCTGCAAAAGGAAACCCAGGCCCAGGTCAAAACAAGTCCAAACCCTGAGCACTGACCCTCAGCAATGCTACGCTCCCCTCACTGCTTTTGAATGACTGAGTGCTCCATGGCCCCAACAGGGGCTCTGTAACAGAGCAAATGAATACCAGGCTGCTGAAGATGACTTCATCACATGAGTATGTGTATTATGCTCTATGTGTAGACATTTCAATGTCAATTGGTCATGCAGGGAATAGACTCAGATTATGTGTATTCATCAGCATTTTAGAAACTTTATTTTATACTGTTTTTGTGGTTAGAAGTTACAAAGTCATACAAGCCTTAATTCTAAAATGTTCTTTGTATTCCAAATTCATCAAAATGCTTCAGCAACACCCAAGACATAATTATCAGAAAATGGCAATGTGCTGAAGAGAGGCTGTGCTGGGGACAATCTGTTCCTTTATAGAGCCCACAGGCACCTGAGCAGTGGGGAGAACAGGAATTCTGGGGCCCAGTGTGAACCTCAAGGATTCAAACATACAAGGTGGGCAAAAAAGGGTGGAGAGATCCCAAAGGTGATCAGGAGACTGCCAGTTTCACCAGAGCAAACACACATGGTGGCAAAGGGACAGAGTATTTCTGGTACAGCCAGCCAGTCACCCAACAGACATAATAAAAATAAATAAATAAAATTTTAAAATAAAACATCAGAATTTGAAGACCGTCAATACATAAATATTTGAACAGTGTTAGGTAGAAACATGTTTTTTCATGCGATTAGGTCTCATACAATTCACTGAAAGCTACACATTTGTGAAAACACAGCCACAGAAACTCGGCAGACACGATTGGCAGAAAACTGCTTAGAACTACTGCAAGTTAACATGTACCGAATTGCCTTGAGTGGAAGGACAGCTGTGAGTCCCTGAGACCTCTTTCTTGGGGCACAGTTACCCTCCATCCACCAGAGCCATGGAAACGCTGTGGGGAAGGTGGGGAAAGGCATCCAGGTACACTTCAGAATGGAACCGTCTGGTAGGTCCCCAAGTTTGTGTTGGAGCTCTGATGAGGGGTGTGACCCCGAGATGCAGGTTTGAACTATTATAGTACAAATAAAAATACATTGGATCACAGACAGAGCAGGTCCTGCTACATGACTTTCCTGAGTTGCATCCAACATGAACTGCATGGAATGGTTGAAAGGTGAGGGATGGACACACACAGATACACTGGACAGCAGGTCCCAGAAGGAGACTCTGTGAGCCCCAGACAATGTCTCAATCAAGGAAGAAAGGATTGGCTGAGGAAACGAGGGGGATTTCCTCTTAAGGAAACAGAAGGGTTTGGGTGACCCTTACAATGGTGAGCCTGCACCTAGCAGTCTGGCGCCCATTCACATAAAGATGGCTGGAAGCACAAGGACAAACCTACCTACGGTCACAGAGGAAGACCTTGACCCCAGAGGGACGGAGCGGCAGACTAGCTGAAAACACTCCTTGGAACTGTGCGGTGTTTTGAGTATACCTTTCCCAAGGGGACTGACTGAGTAGGGCAGAAGTGAAGCTGACGTAATTCCCACCCCTCTCTACTCGCTCCCCTCCCACGGAGCCCTGCATTAGACTCCATTCCAGGGTTTCCTGGACACCCGAAAAACAGGAGCTCTGCCAACCTGAGACCATGACAACTGACTTTCTGTACTGGCTGAGGGCCAGCGGCCAGCACAGTGATAAGGAAGCTCTTCCAGTAAAACGAGTTGATTTATGGAGGAACGAATGAGGATCTGCATACAAGTTCACCAACAAAGCCCCTGGCCTGCCTCCTGCAGCCTCTCCCACAGCCCAGAGCTGAAGTAAGAAGGAGAGAGGGCAGCCCAATGGGAGACATGGGCCTCCACCCCGAGTCTCCTTCTGCCAGTCGTTCCCCTAGAGTTCTGGCCACAGGCAAAGGTCAAGCACCAATTCCCAGGTCACTTAATGCTTGTCTGAAAAATCAAAGGACTACATTTGGGGGATATCTAGTCATGCCTCTATAATTTCTGTTCTGTCTGTTTCAGGAACTCAGGGGCTAGGACTTTGGTTCATTCATTATAACTCCTTCCTGGTAGGGGTCAAGAATATGTTTGTGATTGATTGAAATCCACTCGTGCTTTGGGCAATGAAGTGCTATCTTCTCCCCTACTAAGCCAGATATTCTCATTGTCTCTGTCTAGTGATCTGACTTCTCATTCAGGAAAAGCCATGAACATTTCATCCAGCACTGGTTCCTACTGTGGACCTCTCTAGGGGATTCTATGTCTGTGCACAAGTCCCCTTCGTGCTTATATGTACATGTGCTGTGTATACTTGAGGGGACACATTTCTTCCCTTCAAAGATTTATGAGAAGCCATCAGACAGAAACTTCCTTCTTCTCTCCCACCAATCCTAACATTTATTTGCATCTGCAGCCATCCACTCCTCCTTGATGGCTTGTGGGCACATGGAATGGAAAACAGAATACATTTACAGTTCTGACCCTGGCTGTGTTAAGTCTCTCACTCACTCCTCTTTCTAGACCATCTGGTTACCCCTCAGAAAATCATAGTGATCCACTTGTACCCATGCTAAGTAGCTTAGAGGAGCAGGAAGTGGCCAGTACACCGAAGACCTTGGAGAGCCACATGCACTCCAGAGGGAAGGAGAAAAACCCTACAAAGATTCAGGAGACTTCTACATCAGTAAAACTTTTAGGGTTCCAGTGGCCAGGGATCTACAAGGAAACCCCATCCAAAATAGCAGATAATGTAGTGCATCTTGCACCTCCCACCATAAGAATGGAAAAACAACACCTGGTAGACCTCTTGGGGTTCTAGAGAAAGCATATTCCCACGTCAGGGATAATGGCTTTGGCCCATATCCCAGGTGACCTAAAGGCGTGCCACATTAGTTTGGAGCCCAGAGCAGGAAAGGGCTCTGTAGCAGGCCCAGGCTGGACCAGCAGCCCTGCTGCTTGACCCCGATGGTACATCTGGATGAGCACAGCTGGTCCAGAGGGCACAAGCAGGCTGAATGAGCAGGTTGCCAAACTCTCATTTCATCCACACCTGCTACACTGCCACCTCTAGATCACATCACACCCACTGCCATGTTAAAGATTCCTGATGACCAGATTCTGGGGAAGGAAGAAGCCTGAGTTCGTTTGATTCTCACAAACTATGAGATAGACAATAGTACTACGCTCATTTTGCAGTTGCAAAAACACAGCCTGGAGAATGCAAATGCAGTGCTTGGGATTACACACCTGCAAGTAGACAAGGCAGGAAGCCTCAAACCTATGTTCATTATTCAAAATACTCAGCAGTTTCCACTGTTCAGTTCTGTCCATTTGGAAAGTATGGTCAAGTTGTTATACTGTGTGTCCCCATTTAGCACTCAGTAGGGAATGGCATCTTTTATAAGACCAATAGCTCACAGACCTGTTCAGAAGACACAAGTCTATGTATGTATGTATGTGTGTGTGTGTGCACACGCATATGTTACTCATGGGGAAATGAAAATACACATGAAGTATATGGCAAAGGATGGAGTCACAGATGACGATTAATATAATAAACATGTGAACACAAACAGAAAACCGTTATTTAAACACATAGGAGAAATACACTGACCTCAGTAACATATGGAATTTTTTCCTGGTCAATTCCAACTTGCTGAATTCACGAAAGAGGGGAAAACAGTTCATATTACAGCAGGGCATGGCAAGAAAGAAGAAAAGTAACTGTGAGACCAATGAGTGCAAAGAGCAGAAAATACCCCGAGAGCATGAATTCCTTGCTAAGATGATAACTAGACAGATCAACAAAAACATAGCAGGCTAAAGTACGCTTTGTACATTTAGGCATGAACTTATTTGTCCTAAGGATAAAACTATAAAAGAAAAGATTTGCCGAATATTGAGTCTTTGCTGTTTTGGGAAGAGCTTAGCAGCATTTTGGGTACCAGACAAACGTGTTCTAATTTTTTAAGTAGTTGAAAGTCAGCTATTATTCATCCTGCTGTTCTCCTGTGGGTAATTGTAATATCTCTTCTTTTTTTTTTTTGCTTTGCTTTTCGGAAGTCCCACTATTGTTTGCCTAGGTGTGGTTCCCTGTGTTCCTCCTGCTTGGCTTCCTCTGAATGTCAGGGCAAACATGGGGCTCCCCTCGTAAGTTCCTTCTCTCACTGATCACAGACTTGTTCTACCTACTGCCCAGTGCCTGACGAAGACTGACATCATGCATATTTCGGCTGAGTTGTAGAACTGTTTCGGGTGGGAAGGTAAGCTTACCCTCATGACTACAAACAGAAACCCTTGCAACACTGCTTTTGAGCACAAGGACACTGGATGGTGCATCTTAAGTACCTGATTTTAGTCTTCAGTTTTACTGTTTACTAAATAGTTAAAGCTATTAGCAATTTTTGTGTGTTTGTGTGGTGGTAGGGTAGGGAGGTACAGTCATACCAGATACTAAACTAATACAGAAAATAGCAGAAAAACCTTGAATAGAAACAGATTCTGTACCTCAGCAACTTTCAAGGACTGTGCCAATTTGGTTGTCCTTCCAAGGAACTTGATGTAAATATCCAAACTTTCCTCACATTGGTTCCTCTTCATGTCAAAATATTTGCCTAGAAGTAGAAAACAAATCACGATGAAGGAGCCAACATCTCAGCTATTTTCAGCTTCACTCCATTCTGATTATTCTATTTTAAGCAGATTCTGGATATGATTTTAACTTGTTCAAAACAATTATAGTTTTAATCCAGTTATTTTGTTTTAACGAGCAATGACACTGCTCAATCCATATGATCAACAGATTTTCATGAAGTTAACTACTGCGTGACCAACACTATAATCTTTTAAATGAATATCAAGTTCTGAAGCTCTGAGGAAAAGGGCTCTGTTTTTGACAAACGACATACCATCAGAGTACACACGTACTTCAGTATTTCTTATGAATTAATGATACTGACCCTCTCTTGATTTCGGTGATGTCTGATGCGATCAGTCTATATGCAAGGGACTTTTCATTCAAGGACTTGCTATATCGTCTGATGAAGGTTGACCCTAATGAAATGTTCTGCAGCTGAATAATTTTACCCAAAAAAGCAATAGAATGTCTCATTATTTCAAAATATGTGACCCTACTTTGAATATCTTCAAAGTATCTTCTACTTTTAATCTAAGACAACTACAAGTCTAAATATAAACAATTTTTACAAATAAATTATTTTTACTGGTTTATTTTTTTAAAGTGATGCTTGTTATTCAGCCTACCTAGCAGATTAAGGATCCCATCATTATAGGCTGCAAAGAGGTGAAGAGAATCTTTAAAGAGAAGCATGAAGGCAGCACGTATTATACCATTAGTTAGTTCATGAGGATTTGCCTGGAAGTTAAATAAATGCGTAGTATCAATTAACAGCACAGCTTAAAACAACTCCTTCTCCCACCCACACTTACTACCATTTACCAATTTTTTAAAAAAGGATTTACAAAGCTCTCACATTAAAACTAAGAAGAGCATCAAACTGAGTTTGAATGACTCGAACGGTATTTAACAGGTCTTTCGTATTCATGGTTCTCATCATACCATCAGTCCTGTAAAAGATAAAAGAAATTCCTAATTAAGAGTGTGAGAAGCACTGGGATATTAACATCTTCAAATAAAGCTGTGTTTTTGACAAAGGACATATTATCAGAGTAGACACATATTTCAGTATTGCTTGCTTACAAATTAATGATACTGACCCTCTCTTGACTTTGGTGATGTCTGATGCGATCAGTCTGTATGCAAGTGACTTTTCATTCAAGTACTTGCTATATCGTCTGATGAAGGTTGACATAGCATACCCTAATGAAATATTTTTATTATTTACAATTTAACCAATATCAACCATTTACCATATATGTTAATAAATGCAAAGACATCATTCCACATTCATCCTTGTATCTCAACAATACTTTTGAGGCCTTTATTAATCATTTAGTCCAACATTCCTCAAACTTTGTTAAATATTTTTTACTTCCTCAAAGTCTTAATATCACCTCATGATGTGGTGTTGATGGTGACATTCCTGAATAGAAAAAATAACTGAACTTTATCAGTGTTTTTCACATTTCCACAGAAACCACTGTAAATTCTTAGCACATCCCTGAAATTCTCCAACCCATTGCCACCATCTCTCCCCTGAGCAAATGACCTTGCCCTCTACTTCATAGACAACATAGAGCAAGAAAGGCCATGATTGATAGAAACTCAGCCCCTCATTACTCAACCTCCAAATGTACCTTGATTCATTTATTCAACAATTGCTGAGTGCCTGCTATAAGCCAGTGCCCTAGATACTGGAAGTTCAGCAGTAAATGGACAAAAATCCTTGCCTTCTCAGAGCTTACATTGCAGTAGGGGTTGGTAGACCAACAAAAGAAAAAAACGCAGAGATGGTTAGTTGGTGAGAAAAGAATAAATCTCAGGCAGAGAAGGAACACAGAGGTGTAGTACTATTTTTGGTAGACCGAAGAAGGAAGGCCTGAGTAAATACCTAGAGGTTTCAATTTCCTCTCTCTAGTGTGTTATTCTTCTTGTAAGCACACAAACATGTATTGCGTCAACAAATTTAGAAATTTTTATCATCGTAAAATGTATAACACACCATAACCTTCATAAATTCGAACCACTTTTTTAACTAGGCATGGTTGTCAGAACTTTTCCCTCTTGGCCGCACAGACACATTTTCATCAAAGAATCATCTTACCTTCTATGACACTTTCATCCAGGAAGTTGTGTAAAGTGAACAAAGAGTTTCTAGATGCAAGATGTTGGATAAAACGCTGTCAAACAAACATGCCAAGTTCTAAAATTACTTTCTGTCCACAAAGTGCTCAGTTCACTAATGACTGTCATTATGAATGCATATTTAACATAATTCTATCATACAGCTTCTATCTATTTCAGGACGGTCGGTAAAGGTGAGCATGATCGCATCCTAGGCTGCCCAACATAAACATCTACAGTGCTGTCAACTCTCCTACATGACTTTCTATCTAGTCATTCCCCCTTTTTAATTTTGAGAAATTTTAATTGATTGCAGATTTAATTATTTCAATAATTAGTATTAATTTTTAAAATTATTTAACTTACAGAAAAAAAGAATAATTTGATACAACTGTGTACCCAACTACCCAGAAATAATAACTCCTAACTTTTTAACATACCTACTTCAAGTCTATTTCAAAAATAAGAGGAATAGGGGCTCTCTTGTCCCCTCCTGGCGTGAGCCAGGAGCTCTATTCTCTCACTTCATTTCTAAGTAAAAGCCTGTACCTTGCTCTCCTAAAAAAAAAAAATAATAATAATAATAAGAGGAATAAAGTATTACAGATCAAGTTAAAAGTGCCCTTTGCCCCATCCCTAAGTTCCATTTCCTGCTCTTGCCTGGAAGGAACTGCTCTCCCATTTAACGTTAGATAGTACTTCACTGTATGAACACACTTCTTTTGAGTTATCTTTCCCTAGTCATTTAAATTTAACTGATTTCTACTTTTTAATTATTATAAAAATGCTATGAGAAGTGGATTTGCTGAAACTTATTAGAAAGCAATAGTCATTACACATTTTCTTCAACTATAAAATTTAGTCTTTTGCACTTGTAAACATTTCATTCATGTGGAATTTATTTTTTGTATATGGGGTAAGATAAAGAGCTCACTCTATTTTTTTCCATAGGGATGTTATTTGTACCAAAAGGCTTTATTTTAAATTCCATACTTTCCCCCACATTTTTAGCACCACCAAGCTCTCATAAGTGCAGTTCTACTTTTGAGCTACTTTGTCTGATTTCTATGTATGTTCTATTTTCACCAGTACCATCCTGTGTAATGACTTGCTTTCTATTAAGTTTAAAGTAGAAAATGGAAAAATCAGTTTTTTAATACATCCTACTACTCACTTCCCCCACTTGTTGCCAAACCAAGAACGTTGCGCAACTGTGTACTGACAGTCCTGGGGGGCTAAGAGGAAGTGCCTACCATGCTCACCTCATTTCCATGCACCATAAGGTGATGCACAGTAACCAGAGCTTTGAACACCACCACCCAGCTGCTGCTCCTGGTTTTCTCAGAAAGAACATCAGCCAAATGTTTAACACTCATATTTGTTTCATTTATGTACTGTATGAGATCTAAATAAGAGATGATGACAAGCATTAAAATACAAACTGAAAAATAATTTTCAAAATCAAAATTGATAACTTTAACTTATATACAGATGCAATCAAGTCTGAAAAATGACAAAGGGAATAATCCAAAACATTTTATTCATTACAAGTATTACAATTTGTACTCATGCATCATGCATGACTTTTTGAATGCCTGCCTGTCTACCCTATTGTTCTGTATACTTGATGAGGGGAGGGACTATGTCCATTTTAGTCACCACTGCCTTCCTGAGACCCAGCCCAGTAGTTGGCACCTGATTATGGGAAATATTTGTTATGTGAAAGAATAGGACTCAAAGAGGTAACATGCCCAATGTCATACAGGTATTTAAGTGGCAGAGCTAGTATTTGAAATCAGATTTGTTTGACCAAGGACACCAAGATAATAACCATTATGTCATACAGCCTCTCTCCAGGAAAGTGTCATTCCAATGGAGGTTTAGTCATGAGCTTTCCTTGTAGAGTCATTGAGCATCTAACCCTTTGTTTGCTTCTTCTAACCCCTATGGCTTCTTCGAGTCCACTTCCCCACAATGCTGTACCTGCTTTTTTGCAATGGCTTCCCAATTTCCTGCCTCAGGGTTATAGCCCTTCGTTAGTTTATTTCATACAGCACCTCAAAAAATAACTTCCGTTGTTTCCCCTTCCCATTCAAGAATGAGCAATGGTTTCCCACTGCTGATCAGTTCAAAATCCTCTTTGCTTTCAAAACTACTTGCAACTGTCACTACAACACAACCTCACCCCTTGTGCTTACTCATTAATCAGTATTGCCACACGCATCACATTAGGAGGGTACTTAACAAACATGCCAGTGAATTGTAGAAACAGGCTGTCCCTAACTCTAGACCCAGATTTACTTCATCAACAAGTGCATATGATCAGTGTTGCTGTGCCACGTTTAAGGTTATGAAGAATGGGATTCTCTCATATTGTTTAATCTCTAGGTCTGCTTCATTACTCTTCCTGTAAATTTTCCTCGGCAAGTATTTTGTTTCTGCTTTCGTGTGATTTCAGCCTTCAGCCTAGAGCTTTGGGATGTCATGGTACTATTCCAGTGCTGTCCTTTGGTTCATGACCATGCAGGGCTGGGTAAGGCATACACATTATCATGATAAGCAGATAAACCTTCAGAAGGCAGATACATAGCACATATTGTTTATGAAGTCACTGTGCAGTAGGACCTGAAACAATAGGAGTAGGGCTAGCCTGGGAGTCTACTGTGTCTTTGAGCAACAGATAACTTTAAGAACCAAAACTCCTTCCCATGGAAACATATACACAGCAGTACAAAAAATGCTGTAGATAGTCTAAAGTGTCTTCATGGACCTTAGGCTAGGAGTACCTATGAGAAAATCTGCTTGATTTGTCCCTTCTTTATTTCAGAACACTCTGTCCATGACGGTCGTCATGATTTATAAGTGGGCTTCAGTGGACTCTGGAATTCAAACCCTTCTCAGAAGCCTCGGTTGTTATTCCACTACCTCCTAGGTCCTAACTTATTTGAATAAGTTATGAATAGAATGGAGTTAAAAAGTCCAGTAGTTCTCTTTTAGACCCACTAGAAGATTACTAAAAATGAGGACTTGATTTCTTTGCTCCTGCATGGGCGAGGAACGTAGAGAGGAAGGCTGGAGGTTGGTGTGGGATGCCACCATTAGAGGCACCCAGGTAGAGCCTCCCACATGGGATACCTACTCACCTGCTAGGTGTTTTGGCTCCGGTTCCGACGGCTCATCGGTGGTAGCCCCGAGGGCAGCCTTGGAGGCAGACGCCCCCATGTGCGGCACAGACCGCAAGCTACGAGGGTTATGGCTGCGGAGTCTGGTTCCTCCTCTTCCGGAACAGCAGACCGAGCAAGAAAACAGCAATCAAGGCGACGTTAAGGGGCACCGGACATGATAGAAGAAAGGGCTGGCCCTGCAGGTAGTCTTCACCAGGTAACGTTTTATTCGTGCAGCCTGACGCAGACGTGCAGCATTATCACATAGAAGCCGACGTCGTTAGGCGCCAGAGTTCTCAACAGCGCCTAGCAAAAAAGGGATTCCGAGCGCTGGGTCAGGCTTGGGGCGGGGCTTTGCATAGTAGACGCTCACTAACGAAATAAACAGCACCGACTGAATGAATGTTATGAGTAAGGGGGACTCCAGATGAAAGGTCTGGAGATCTTCAGGGTCTTGGGAATCTGAATGGCCCTATGACGTACTTTGGAAATCATTTATTTGGCATTGTTAGGGACGCTTTGGCCACATATTATAGGGGATGTATCTTGCCTGAGGTCGTGGCTTACCCTTCAACCAGAATAAAATACCTAAGCACACAAAGTTATTCAGACTACTACGTTACTATCCTTTTAATATCTGTGAAGACCATAGTGATGTTACCTCTGTTCATTCCTGATTTTGTTAAAGTATGTCTTCCTTTTTTTTCTTCATCTGCCTGGAGAATAATCAACTTCACCGATCTCAAAAAACCACCTTTGGCTTCATTGATATCCTACATATTCTGTTTTCTATTTCATTGATTTCTACTCTTTATTATTCCCTTCCTTCTACTTGTTTACAGTTTATTTCACTCATTTTCTGGTTTCTTAATGTATGACAGGTTACTTACATGATATTCTTCTTTTATAATATAGACATTTACAGTTAAGTACTGTTTTGTAGTTGTCAGAGAACATATTTCTTATGATTTCAACCATTTAAAATTTCTTGAGATTTTATGGAACAGAATAGGCCCTATCAAGGTAAATGTTCTCTGTACCCTTGAAAAGATGCATACTTTTCTACAGTTGGGCACAGTGTTCCAATTAAATGTATATTATAATTATTATCGTATCACAAGTAAATTAGACTGTTCATTTTCATTTTTTTATTGAAGTATCACTGATATACATTCTTATGTTGGTTTCAACTATACAACACAGTGGTTCAAGCACCTACCCATAGTATTAAATCCTCACCCCTCCAGTGCATTTACTATCTATCAGCATACTAAGATGTTACAGAATCATTGACTCTATTCTCCATGCTGTATTACCATCCCTGTGAAAAACTTACATTATGATTGAGAATTGTTGTGTCCCTTTATTCCCTTCACCATCCCACTTGGTAACCACTAGTCACTTCTCAGTGTCTATGAGTCAACTATTGTTTTGTTCCTTCTGTTTTGCTCTGTTTTTATACTCAACAACTAAGTTAAATCATAGTGTATTTCTTTTGTTCTGCCTGGCTTTTCTCACTGAGCAAAATACCCTGTAGATTCATCCATGTTCTTGCAAATGGCAGGATATTTCTTTTTATGGGTGAATAATATTCCATTGTGTATATGTACCACCTCTTCCTTATCCATTCATCTACGAATGGACACTTAGGTTGCTTCCATTTCTTGGCTATTGCAAATAGTGCTGTGATAAACATAGGGGTGCATATGTCATTTTCAAACTGGGATCCTGCATTCTTAGGGTAAACTCCTAGGAGTGGAATTCCCGGGTCAAATAGTGTTTCTATTTTGAGTTTTTTGAGAAACCTCCATATTGCTTTCCACAATGGTTGAACTAATTTACATTCCCACCAGCAGTGTAGGAGGGTTCCCCTTTCTCCGCATTGTCACCAACATTTGTTGATGTTTGTCTTTTGGATGTTGGCCATCCTAATGTGAGGTGATATCTCATTGTGGTTTTAATTTGCATTTCTCTGATGATTAGTGATGTGGAGCATCTTTTCATGTGCCTGTTGGCCATCTAAATTTCTTCTTTGGAGAAGTGTCTGTTCAGCTTCTCTGCCCATTTTTTAATTGGCTTGTTTCCTTCTTGTTTGTTGAGGTGCATGAGCTCTTTATATAATTTGGATGTCAACTCCTTATCAGATATGCCCTTTATGAATATATTCTTCCAAACTGTAAGATGTCTTTTTGTTCTACTGATGGTGTCCTTTGCTGTACAGAAGCTTTTTAGTTTGATGTAGTCCCATTTGGTCATTTTTTATTTTCTTTACCTTGCCCAGGGAGATATGTTCATGAAGAATTTGCTCATGTTTATGTCCAAGAGAGTTTTGCCTATGTTTTCTTCTAAGAGTTTTATGCTTTCATGACTTACATTCATGTCTTTGATCCATTTTCAGTTTACTTTTGTGTATGGAGTTAGACAGTAATCTGGTTTCATTCTCTTACATGTAGCTGTCCAGTTTTGCCTAAACCAGCTGTTGAAGAGGCTGTCATTTCCCCATTGTATGTCCATGGCTCCTTTATCATATATTAATTGACCATATATGGTTGCGTTTATATCAGGGCTCTCTAGTCTGTTCCATTGGTCTATGGGTCTGTTCTTGTGCCAGTACCAAATTGTTTTGATTACTGTAGCTTTGTAGTGTAGCTTGAAGTCAGAGAGTGTAATTCCCGCAACTTTGTTCTTCTTTCGCAGGATGGCTTTGGCTATTTGGGGTCTTTTGTGGTTCCATGTGAGTTTTAGAACTATTTGTTCCACTTCATTGAAAAATGCTGTTGATATTTGGATAGGGTTTCCTTTGAACCTGTAGATTGCCTTGGGTAGGATAGCCATTTTGACAATATTAATTCTTCCTATCCATGAGCACGGAAGTATTTCCACTTACTAGTGTCTTCTTTAGTTTCTCTCATGTGTGTCTTGTAGTTTTCAGAGTATAGATCTTTCACCTCCTTGGTTAGGTTTATTCCTAGGTATTTTATTCTTTTTGGTGCAATTGTAAATAGAGTTGTTTTCCTGATTTCTGTTTCTGCCACTTCTTCATTATTGTATAGGAATGCAACAGATTTCTGTGTATTAATTTTGTATCCTGCAACTTTGCTGAATTCAGATATTAGTTCTAGTAGTTTTGGAGTGGAGTCTTTAGGGTTTTTTATGTACAATATCATGTCATCTGCAAACAGTGACAGTTTGGCTTCTTCCTTAGCAATCTGGATGCCTTTTATTTCTTTGTGTTGTCTGATTGCTGTGGCTAGGACCTCCAGTACTATGTTGAACAAAAGTGGGGAGAGTGGGCATCCTTGGCTTTTTTCAGATTTTAGAGAAAAGATTTCAGCTTCTTGCTGTTAAGTATGATGTTGGCTGTGGGTTTGTCATATATGGCCTTTATTATGTTGAGGTACTTGCCCTCTATACCCATTTTGTTGAGAGTTTTTATCATGAATGGATGTTGAATTTTGTCAAATGCTTTTTCAGCATCTATCGAGATGATCATGTGATTTTTATCTTTATTTTTGTTGATGTGGTGTATGATGTTGATGGACTTTCGTATATTATACCATCCTTGCATCCCTGGAATAAATCCTACTTGATCATGATGGATGATCCTTTTCATGTTTTTCTAAATTCAATTTGCTAATATTTTGTTGAGGATTTTTGCATCTATGTCCATCAGGGATATTGACCTGTAAGTTTGTTTTTTTGTGGTGTCTTTGTCTTGTTTTGGTATTGGAGTATTGCTGGCCTCATAGAATGAGTTTTGAAGTACTTCTTCCTCTTCTATTTTTTCATACTAGTATTGCAACACCTGCTTTTTTCTCTCTGTTGTTTGCATGAAATATCTTTTTCCATCCCTTGACTTTAAGTCTGTGCATGTCTTTGGGTTTGAGGTGAGTCTCTTGTAAGCAGCATATGGATGGATCTTGCTTTTTCATCCATTCTATTACTCTGTGTCTTTTGATTGATGCATTCAGTCCATTTACATTTAGGGTGATTATTGAAAGGTATGTACTTATTGCCATTGCAGGCTTTAAGTTTGTGGTTACCAAAGGTTCAGGGTTAGCTTCTTTACTATCTTACTGTCTAACTTAACTCGCTTATTGAGCTGTTATAAACACAGTCTGATGATTATTTCTCTCCCTTCTTATTCCTCCTCCTCCCTTCTTCATATGTTGGGTGTTTTGTTCTGTGCTCTTTTTAGGAGTGCTCCCATCTAGAGCAATCCCTGTAAGATGCCCTGTAGAGGTGGTTTGTGGGAAGCAAATTCCCTCAGCTTTTGCTTGTCTGGGAATTGTTTAATCCCTCCTTCATATTTAGATGATAATTGTGCTGGATACAGTATTACTGGTTCAAGGCCCTTCTCTTTCATTGCATTAAATATATCATGCCATTCTCTTCTGGCCTGTAGCGTTTCTGTTGAGAAGTCTGATGATAGCCTGATGGGTTTTCCTTTATAGGTGACCTTTTTCTCTCTAGCTGCCTTTAAAACTCTTTCATTGTCCTTGATCTTTGCCATTTTAATTATTATGTATCTTCGTGTTGCTCTCCTTGGGTCCCTTCTGTTGGGAGTTCTGTATACCTCTGTGGTCTGATCAATTATTTCCTCCCCCAGTTTGGGGAAGTCTTCAGCAATTATTTCTTCAAAGACACTTTCTATCCCTTTTTCTCTCTCTTCTTCTTCTGGTACCCCTATAATGCGTATATTGTTCCATTCGATTGGTCACTCAGCTCTCTTAGAATTCTTTCTTTCCTGGAGATCCTTTTATCTCTCTCTGCATCAGCTTCTCTGCGTTCCTGTTCTCTGTTTTCTAGTCCATTTATGGTCTCTTGCATCTCATCCATTCTGTTTTGGAGTCCTTCCAGAGATTGTTTTATTTCTGTATTCCCCCTCCTTCTTCTTGCATATTTCTCTGCAAGTCCATCAGGATGGTTATGACTTTTGTTTTGAATTCTTTTTCAGGAAGATTGGTTAAATCTATCTCCCCAAGTTCCTACTCAGGGGAAGATGTAGAAGATGTTGAAGCTGTCTGGGTTAGTCTTGTCTGGATCAAATTTTTTTGCCTTTTCATGTTGATAGGTGCAGTGGAGTGCTATTGACTCGTCTGTCAGTTGGGAGAGCTAAGACTCTTTCCACTTGCTCCTGGCCTTTCTTTACTGGGACAACCGTGACCCCTAGTGGCTTGTGTTGGGCAATTGCATGTAGACTGGGTCTCTGTATCTTGCCGGCTGGTATGGAGGAAGCTCCCTTGCTGTGGGTGTGGCCAGCCTCAGGCTGCTACTCTGCTAGCGGGGCCCCAGAGGGGTAATGGATGGGGGGCTGTTTGGCTGTTTACCTCCATGAGGGGTCTCAGAGCTGTTGCCCAGGGGGTTAGTGCACCCAGGGTTCCCTGGGATTTCCAGCTGCTGGACTCTGACCCGGGATGCTTCCGTCCAGTTGTGGGGTCCCTGTCCCTTTAAGACTTTCAAAAAGCACTTGCTTTTTTTTGTCACAGGGGCGCCGGCTGTGGGACCTGCTCACAGGTCTTACTGTCCTGCATCCCTAGTTTCTGGCACCCCACGCATGCACTGTGTCTGTGCTCTGGTCCGGATGACTGGGGCTGGGTGTTTAGCAGTCCTGGGCTCCCTCTCCCTCCCAGCTCCGACTCCTCTCCTCCCGCTGGGAGCAGGGGTGAGGGGCCTCAGGTCCCTCTGGGCCACGGCTTGTATCTTACCCCTTTCACCGGGTGCTGGGTTCTTGCAGGTGTGGATGTTGTCTGGCTGTTGTCCTGTGTCTTCTGGTCTGTCTTTTAGGATTAGTTGTATTTGTTGTATTTTCAAAAATATATATGTTTTTGGGAGGAGATTCCCGCTGTCCTACTCACGCCACCATCTTGGCTCCGCCTTCTTGCTCTTCTATTTTTTGGAATACTTGAAGAAGGATGGGTATTAGCTGTTCTTTAAATGTTTGGTAGAATTCAGCTGTGAAGCCATCTGGCCCTGGGCTTTTGTTTTCAGGCAGTTTTTTTCTCAACACATCCAGTCTCACCATATATTTAGCAGTGTTAGCTATAATCACCAGGGTATGAGGAATGTTCATCAAATAAAACAATACAAATTAGTTTCAAGGACCTGAGTGGTGTGACCATAGTCAGCTGACTCCACTGAAATAGCAACATTGTAAACTGAAAAGGTCTCAAGGGCAGTGAGGCACCACCAATAGCCCAAGAAGTAGGTCAGAAGTCTGATGCAGTCTCTTTTGCCATACACAAATGGGCCAGCTTTTGGCAAGCATTACAGCTTTTAAAAAAATCAGGAACATAAGAGTTTTTTACCTTGTTAAAGACAGCTGTTTTTAGACTAGCTGACAGACTAAGCATTGTGAATTCACTCCACTGTTTCAAGAAATGTTCCTTGACAAGCAGGCATCTGCATTTTGTTGGATCTTGTCAATTGCTCCAGCTGGCGTACAGCCACAGCAATTGAGACTTTCCAACTGTCAGACACTAAGACATTATTTATACAGTGAAAACTGGACATTAGAGAAAATTTCTAAAACTTTATGGATATGTACAATTTAAACATGTAATGTATTTCAATACCAATTACACATTTTTACAACAATACATACAATTAATTGACCCAAGCCTCACTCACAGAGTTAAATTTTTTTCTCTTCAATGTAAGTTTTGTGCAAATTCTAAGAGATTTTTGTTTTTCTTTTAGCAAAAAAAGACACTGTATCTTATCTCTTTAGCTGGGAACTTAAGGAGTTCAGGGCAGAGAGGAAGTAGTAATGTGCCTGGTTACTTTTCTCCCCTCCAATGGCCATTTAACTCCTAGAGCAGCAGTGTCACTCAGAGAGTGACATTCTCAGTGTTCCATGCCCAAATTAGAGCCTGCATCCCACAAGTGGGAGCTGGATGAGAGAACGGAGCCCCCACCTCTCAACCACACTTACCTGGGACTTAGCCTCAGCAACAGGTAGCAGGGAACAGGTTGAGAAATGCTGAAGTCTTCACTCCTCCTGGGAATAAAGCCTTCGAAACTGGGAGCGGGGGAGTGGGAACCCTGTGTTCTTGGCTGCACCAATCTGGAATGGAGTCTTCTCCTCGCTGAGCTGGGGGAGGGAGGAGCAGATCTAAATTCAAATACTAGAGATTCTTAGCAAATTTTTGTAGATTGTCTTGAATAGATATTTCTTGACTTACTGTTTGTCCTTAGGACCACTTCCAGAGATTTAAATTTTTAAAAATAAATCATTTTCACCAGTTTCACTGGAGAGTGTGTCTGCAGACCTCCTCACAGTCAATGCTACTGGATCCCAAGGAGTCCTTTTATATTCTCTAACCCAGACCACGTAGCCCTGAACACACAGGACAATGGGAAGGCCTTTACTTTTCCTTCTCTTGCTCAACACTTAGGTAAGAGCTGTGCTACCAGTTTATTACTTACACAAAAAGAAGAGAAACCAAAGGTATCAATTCCCTGTGGTCCTTGTCCCACACATCAAAATAGACAAAACCATTTATAGTTTGCATTTATACCCTAAGAAGAGTGAGGAGTTTTCCATCCCCCCAAATAAGGGAATACAACACTACAATTCAATCCAAAGACCCCATTCAAATATTGCAACTGTCTTAACAATTTCATCTCTTTTAGTCTGTGGAAACTCCTTGGCCTTTCCATGCTTTTCATGTCCTTGACAGTTAAACCTCCACCCATCACCCTGCTTTAGTATCCACTGATGACTCTCATCTGAATCAACCACTACAATGATTACCCAAGGGTGACTTTCTAATTTTATCATTCCTTCTACATTTATTGGTTGGCTTTCTACTTAAAGGAAGAGCTTTCTTTCCTCCGCTATGTATTATCAGGGTAGACTCAGCCATTTCTCTCAGGGGGGCCCTGGTTACCTTTAGTGAAGGGTGGTATTTGAGAACCAATATCTGGGTGTTAGATGTGCCCATAATTAGTGGGACATCACTTCTATTCTCTCTTAGTGGACAGAGTGAGGAAATGTATGTATATATGTTGATACACACACTCCTAGATCTATCAGTGTATATATTTTTTTCCTTTGAAAAAAGTTTGTATCAGTATTGCCAATTTCAGTCCAACACCATGAGGTTCATTTTACCCTGCCCCCTTTTCTCATTTCTCTAACACTGAGAAACCTAGCGCCACTTTCCTCAACATATTTGCATATTTGCTCAACTTGTTTAATCTGATTGCTGGCACTAAAGCTGTGAACTCCTTTACCTTCAAGCAATAATCCCAGCCCTGCTTCCTCAGCCACCAGGCCCTTTGACACCTCCATGTACCCATCCTCCCCACACATGCCTATTTTACAAATTACAACTCAGATTATCAGTTTAGAAAAAGAATTTCATATTGCCACACTCTATCAGTGTAAATAATTTAGGTGATGGAGAGAGATGTTAAAGATGTCTTTTGGTTTTTGGTCTGTGCAAATGGATGCTCCATTCACTAAGGTAAGAAACAATGGCAGAGATTATGGTTCAGATTGAAAACCAGGAGTTTAGATTTGGATGTATTAAGTTTAATGTGCTGTAAAGACAGCCAAGTGGAAATGGAAATGTGTAGTAGGCACATAGCAATTTAGGTAGGTCTAGAGTTCAGATGGAAACAGAGATTTATCTGTCAACTAAGTATAAGGGAAGATAGAGAAGCCTATGAATGAATTTGAGAAGAAAAACCAGAAAAGAACAGAATAGCAGAAGCCAAGAGAGGTAGATTTCAAAGACTGGCCAGTTGTGTCAAAGAAGACTGAGATGTTCGTGAAGGACGGGAAAAGCATCTACTGACTTTCACTGTGGTTGAGGGGCACTGTGATTTGGGCAGGAGTGGTTTGAATGGAGTGATGTGGGCAGAGGTCAGAATGCAATGAGTTGAATGAATAGGAGATGAGAAAACAGAGAAAGCAAATGTATAGGATTCCCACTGCTGTTGGCTGTGACTGAAAATAGAGACTCTGCTGACCAGAAGAGGATACAGGGTTGTAGGCTGAATGTAACATTTTGTGTAAAGGTAAGCTGGATTGGTACAAGTAGGAAAGTCATGATACATCTTGTTCAAATCACTGCTTCTTGTGATGCTTAAACTTAACTTTTAAAGACTAAACACTGAGCTAAAAGGAACACTCATAGTCATCTACTCTAACCTTACAAATAAAAAAAAAATGAAGCCCAGAAAGGGAAAAGGATGTGTGCTCAAGGTTGCCTGTAAAAATATTCAAATCATTTTATTCCAATCAGATTTTCTTTGAAACACTCTTATCTCATAAATTAAGGATAATACCTCCTAGTTCCTTATTTAACACTTGTAACTTTTTATTTTGCAATAATTATGGATTTACAGGAAGTTGCAAAAATAGTACAGTGAGTCCCACGTACCCTTCACCCAGTTTCTTCTAGTGGTAAACTCTTAGAAACTGTGGCACAACTTCAAAACCAACATATTGACAATGGTACAATACTGTTAACTAGACTACAGACCTTGTATTTAGTTTCACCAGATTTTACATGCATTCATTTGTGGATGTAGGTCTATATAGTTTTAGCACAGATATAGATTCATGTAATCAACACCACAATCAAGATACAGAACCATTCTATTAGCACAAAGGAACTCCTTATGTTATCCCTTTATAGTCACATATATTCCCATATCCCCTCCACTCCTTATACCTGGCAATCTTTAATCTGTTCTTCATTTCTATGATTTGTCATTTGAAGAATGTTATATTAATGTAATCATACAGTATGACCTTTTGAGACTGGCTTTTTTAACTCATCATAATACCCTTGAGGTCCATCCAAGTTCTGTGTATCAATAGTCTGTTCCTTTTTCACTGCAGAGTAGTACTCCATGGTAGGGATGGTTGGTTTAACCACTCACTCAATTGCAGGACATCTGGGTTGTTTCCAGTTTCTGGCTATTACAAACAACCTGCTAAGAGCATTTGTATACAAGTTTTTGTGCCAACAAAGGTTTTCATTTCTCTGGGATAAATGTTCAGGGGTGCAACTGCTGGGTCATATTACATATGTATGCATAGATTTATTAGAAATTTCCAAACTCTTTTCCAGAGTAGCTATACCATTTTACATTTGTCAGAATGTATGAGGTCCAGTTTGTATGCTCAACAGCATCTGGTGTTTTCACTATTTTTTCTTCAGCCATTCCGATAAGTATGTTGTCATAATTCACTGTGGTTTTAACTTGCACTCCCTGATGACTGAAGAAGTTCAACATCTTTTCAAGTGCTTGCCATCCATATATCCTCTTTAATGAAATGGCTGTTCATGTCTTTTGCTCATTTTTTAATTGGACTGTTTTTGTTGTTGATTTTATATAGTCTAGACTGCTCACATACATGGTTTGCAAATTATTCCTCTTAATAATTTCCCTATCTTAAATTTTTTGCAGAGCAAGAGTTTTTCATTTTGATGAAGTCCAGTATATCAACTTTTTCCTTTTAGGACTGTGCTTTTGGGGTAAAGGCCAAGAACTTGTTGCCTAGTCCAAGATCCTAATTTTTTCCCTAAAAGTTTAATAGTTTTAAATCTTACATCTAAGTCCATGATCCTTTTTGAGTTAGTTTTTAGTAAGATGTGCAGTTTAGGTCAAAGTTCACTTTTTGCCCATGGGTGTCCAATTGCAGCATCATTAGTTGAAAATGACTTGCTTTTGTACCTCTGTCAAAATCAGTTGGTCATATACTGTCTTGATTACTGTAGCTTTATGGTAAGTCTTGAAGTCAGATAATGTGAGTCTTCCAACTTCTTCTTCTTTAAAACTGATTTAGCTTAATGATTTTTACACCTGGATATTTTCATCTTTCCTATAGGGAAAGAAAAAAATAGAGAACTGTGGCTGTGGGAAATTAGGGAAAATACAGCATTTACATTCTGTATGGCCTAAGGTGGTGGTTTTTCAAATTTTAGTATGCCTTAAAGTCAGCTGGGAAGTTCATGAAGATTTCTGGGTTCCACCCCCAAAGATGAAGTTTGACCTCCAAGTGATTCTGCTGCAGGTAGTTCTGGGCTACACTTTGAAATTTGAAAAAAAAAATTTAGGGAGAAACAAGAAGATAAAAGAAAAACCAACCCTTTGTCACTGCTGCTGGGATTGGGGCTCTCTTTGTTTTCTTTCTTTCCACCTCCTCCAATTCCTACTTTAATTTCCATATACAATAGGCTTGACTTTTTTCTGAAGATTAACTTATCATTTGTGGTTACACTTGTTAAGAATAATACAACAGAACTTGCTAAAGCTGGATTTTTGTTACATCCTAAATCATAAATGTTTCTGGAAAAGCACATTTATATTGTAATGGAAGTTCTAGGTAAACAGGATCTGCTCAACAGAGATTTGCTTCAGAGTCAAATTTGCTAGAACTTATCTATTTAGTTAGAAAGGGCACCCACACAGATTCAGCTTTTGACAGGTAATCTCAAAATACCTATCTTGGAGATCAAGAAGGAAAATATAAGACATGCCTCTCAATGAGGGCAAACGGTAGAGGTGAGGTGGTGATGGTCTTTACTTCCTTCCTCACTAACCCATGTGTACTTACTTGCTTTTTAAACATAAGCATCATAACTACAAAACTGAAACATGAAATATTCTTCTTCCTTTAGCTTATTCTACAGAGTAAATGTATCTGAAAATGAAAATAAAGTCTTCCAAGGTAAACAAAGGGAGAGAAAAACATTAAAAATATACTCCCTGGACATTACAGGGTATCCTCGCCAATGAACCTTCCACAGCCTTTTTAAAAGACTTTCATACTCTACTTAATTACCTTGCAAATGTTCTTTGTAGGCCAGTTATAGGTAGGCGGTTCATTAAGCCTTAATGAAACTTTTATGAAGACATTATATATCTATTGCATGCATAAAATTCATCCACTGGGATTTAAGATCTGCTCCATTGTCTGCCTACATGAGATTTGTGAATTTTGAGACCATGTTTAATAACACAAATTGAAAAAATTTTTTTTTACCTCATTTTCTCTCCTGCTTTATTCTAGAGAAGAAAGTTCTTGCATTAGCTCTTCCTTTTCTTGTTGCAACTCCTGCAAATGCTGTTGGTTTTGCTCCAGTCTGTCCTCCAACCACTGTAGGAGAGGCCCACTGACTGCAGACATCTGACTGCACAGATTCTTGGTAAACACTTTAATAGGAAAAACACAGATGAAATAACCCTCCACCACCAGTAGCCTCCCAACCGTGAGCACAGAAAGAAGTGGTCGGAGGAGGAAGTAGAAAACATGCAATAAGTAGGACTGGCGGATGATTTTGGATGGCCAGCCAGGGTAAAGACAGAGACACTGAGCTGAGAAGATACCTATTTGGAGACCATCCTGAACATCCTTGGATCCATAAGCCAGAAGGAAGTCTGGCTTATCACTATGCAGATGACAGAAGGATGACCAGTTCTTTTTTCACTTAGGCAGAAGGGCTTACGAGCCCCAGCAGGGCTCCTTTTCCAGCCCTCAGACTTTCCCACAGTATGAATGAACATGACCTCCTAGAAAGCTAGAACTCTGCCTTCTGCAACTTAGTTTTCCAGAAGTCCAGTAGGAAAATTGTTTATTAGTTGTTACATAGCAAATAAATAAATACATTAATTCAACTCACCTGAAAGTTCCTCTTTTAAAATGAGGAAAAACCAGAGA